GTGCAACAGTAAGAGAACTAGAGCATGCTTTCATGTCTGAATATGGCAATGTACACAGACCTGTAGATGTGCTTCTGGTCGCTGGACTAAATGATATTCTGCGAGGAGCAACAGACATGGAAATCATGGAAGACATAGAGCATTTCCGAAGCTCAGTAAGATCGATCTCAGCTAGAACAGGAGATATTTATCAAGGTAGCTTTGCCGCTGCCACTCTCCATTTCCCTCCAAAGATTACTGTGATTAAGAGAGACCATAGAAAAATAGTCAACAATCGAAAAGAACTTATGATTTCTCTCACAACCAAGATTAGAGAATTCAACTGCTCTGATACTCATCCAATCATTCCGACACGTCTTGCACCTTGTTTTCATACATGGGGAATAAGAACGAAGAAATCTTCTCACTTTACAGGACCAAGGACACTAATGGAAGGATGGTTAACACACAGAAGGGGTCAATGGAGAGAGACCAAGCCGAGAGACATGTTGCACTTGGAAGATAATGCTAGGATCAGGATGGGAAAAACTTGCGTTGGATACTACAAGGCAATATACAGAATAACAGAATGTCGGGCCAGATCCAAAAATGAAGGTTTAAAGCTCAGTCGTGAGAAAAGAATCTAAGGATGTTAAGTAGTGATGTTCTCAGAGTGATTCAGGAAATTATGACCTGAGAGCTCTGATATCCTGAATATATAAACTTATAAACTTAAACACTATAAAATCATGTTATCCGAATAACCAAACAGTGAATTATAGCCAGCTGGATACTGTTGATTTATAAGCTTGAGACCAACAAGCATTTTTTGAAGTTTCGATATATTTTCTTCTTTTATCCTATTTTTCTATTTTTGATACTTTTGATCAGTTTTCTCTCACTCTATTCGATTCATGGATGAAAAGTCTATATCTGGGTGTCGTTTCTTTTTTTGTTTTTCTTTGGTTGGTTTTTAATTGTTTTTAATTTTTTCTAAAAAAAAAATAAGATGAAAAGTCATTTCCCATTTTTTCGGTTTTCCAGTACTCTAGATTTTTATTTTATGTCCTTTTTGTTGCTTTGTTTTTTTTTCCTCTTTTTTATTCATATAGATGTATAGATGAAAAGTCATTCAGTTGCAACTACGTTTGCAATATATAATATTAAATAATTTTTAAAATACATACTGCAGTTCTGTTCATGTTCACATTTCAATTTAAAGATGAAAAGTCTGCAACTACGCTTGCAAATTATTTTGATCAGATCTTAATTAATGGAGAGCTCTGCGAAAAGCAGCTCGGTACGGCAATAGGTAGAACGAGACGTTTTTCTCTATGATTCTATAAATGAAAAATACTATTGTCGAATTTTTTGTATTGAATAAAGTTGTTAAGAAGAAAAAAAAACTAAAATTGTCGAGACTTTTACTGGACAATCTGTTTCGGATTTTGGTACAAAACCTTCCAGCACTGGAAGAATTGAATTCTAGGAAACACACACCGTCACCAACCGTTTGATTTTTACAAAATTGCGGAATTGTGCAAAACTCTAGTTGCAAAATTGCGCAAAACTTGAGTTTTGCAAAAACGGAAAAGGGCAATCAAGCAAAACTAGCAGAAAAAAACAGCAAATTAATGTTTTTAATACTCTTCACTCTTTCAGATTTAAAATTGTGATAGCTCTAAGTTCTAGGGAGGGTGGGGGCTACGCCCCCCCTTTACAGGTCTAAGTAGGGGCACTCTGCCCCCTTGCCCCCCCTGTATACGCCCTTGATTACGAACATATTCTCTTTGTATACAGTGAACAAACAAACAAACAAAAAAGTTCGCGGATTTTATCCAAAAGTTTGTTGCCGATAAATCTTTTATGTTAAAAAGATGGATGAAAATCATGTTGTATGAGGCCCCCCCCCCCCCGCCTTTCTAGGGAACTTAGGGAACTTAAACTGTGCTTATAACTAACCTGTAGACATGCGCCGAGTAAAGGTGTGAGGTTAATGCAAATGTTCTTAGAGCCGGCTGGTTCGATTCTGTATTGGATTTTACGTTTTTTTCCCAATTCTCTGAAAAATCTCGCCAGGAATTAGAGAAGCAGAAGCCATTAGTAGCTCCATGGTATTCTCTGGATGGAATATTTTTGGCACGCAGTTTTAAGTGTATCCCGAAGATCTTCCACAGTTTTTTCAAGTTTTTTTACGTTTTTGAAGGATGTAACATTTCTCTCTGTATTTCATTCCCATTTCCGCACTATCTTGGAGAAGTTGGATAGTTTCTTGAAAAGAAAGCAGGGAATAATTATGGTCTTTCTTTATCACTTGGACATGAAAATCTGTAGTTACAGCCCAATCTATGGGTACAGCATTGTTCCACAACTTTTAACAGTAGAGACTTTTTAAGCATTTATTTTCAAAATGCCGACTGCATATCTGTTTTCCATTTGACTATTGAAATCCATTGCTCTTTTATCGTGTGCAGTAATACATTTTCACAGGAAGACGTACTATTGCAGTCTTTTATAGTTTCATGGTTAGCAAACGATTCTGAGTAAACTGAGTAAAATTTATGATACTTAACCTCCCCATACACTTAGGGAGGGGGTGCAGAGGCGCCATGATCCCCGCAAAAATGATCTCCGAACCTCAGGATTTGCAGAATTACCTCCAGGCCCCGCAAAACTGGTCTCCCAGCCTCAGTGACGTCACCAAGCCTTCCGCCATTCTGTCTCCACGCCCCGCATTTTGGTCTCCGCTTGTTGTTTTTATTTTTTGTTTAAATTTATTGGCTTAACAAAACAAATATCAAAATATATCTCTTCATAGTAGACTCCGTCATAGTTTAAAGAATCGTCTAATCAACAAATTTGACATGTTAATTCATTCAATTGTTTTGGAGTTGTTTTTCTGTTAAAGTTTACATTGAGATGGAATGAGTAAAAGATGACCTTTATAGACGACTTATCTAATATTTTGAAGGCTTCATGATTTGAAGATTTTCTTAACTCTCATTAATTCTGCAAATCCTGAGGTTCGGAGATCATTTTTGCGGGGATCATGGCGCCTCTGCACCCCCTCCCTCATACACTTGTACTCCGAAAGCGTACTGCATATTTGATGTATCATACTGTATGATATAGGCCATAATCTCTAAATATCCCAAATCAGTAAACTGTCCTAGGTGTACACTCAGGCTAGACAGCGGCCCAGGTAGTTAACTATCATCCCCCCCCCTGAGTATAATCGTTATCATACTCGTATGTTAATATTTTTTTAATGTATGGAATACATCTTCAGTTGTTTAATTCTAAGCTTAGAATATCAATTTTTGACAATTTGCCTAAAAAGTTGCATTTTGCGTAAAACTTGCGGTTTTGCGCAAATTGCGCAAAAAAAATTGCCCAAAACAAAAATTTCGTTTCATGCGCAACTTTCGCAAAAAATATTTCCGGTTTTGCGCAAATTGCGAAAAAAATAACGCAAAACCGCGCAAAACTCATTGCGTTTCATGCGCAAAAATAGCGCAAAAGTTCGCAAAAAAAATTTTGCGCTAAAGATTTAGCCATTTCGTGGAAACCCTATAAAAAAGCCTCCACCATACAGAACCGCTTTAAATCTTGGTTTTTCTGTGTAGAAAAAATTGTTAACATTTTTTTAGACGTATTGGCATAAGAATTTTACTGAAGATTAGATTTCTTTATTGATTGGCATGATTTAAAAAACATAAATGGACTCGTAAAGTGCTTTTTAAGATTTATTCTAAACTTTTAACATTTCTTACGCAGAAAGGAAGATATTTGGAGAAATATTTCTGGAGTAAATTTAGTATGTTTTATTGAAATCTTTGCTTTATACAATGCCTTTTTTGAAAAATGGTAAATTTTTTAATAAATTGCATAATCTGGATTTAATTTGTACTACAAAACAAGGTATCACTTACATCAAAGATTATATTAGATAAATGGAATTCAAATAAACTTTTTTCTTTTAAATATTTTCTTTTCACGTAAAGAATGCTGCTTTAAGTTTTATATACCACTTTAATAGTCATAATCAGGAGCTATTTAGGATAATTAATAAATACTTCTCATCTTTGAGAAACCTCTCATGCCACTATGTTAAAATAAAATTGTTTGCATTTTTTACTACACATGAATCCAAGATTCTGAAAGAGCTGTTCTGAATTGAGGAGGCTCGTTCACTGCATAACTGTGGCACAGTCTGCATAGCGAGCAGGGAAAGGCAGGCGGCCATGAGCTACCACTATTTCCCCTTCCGTGCCACATATTAGCTTTTTTCTCTACTAATATTTTGTGTGTTGAATTCTTAAACTGTTTTACAATGAAATTCATGACAAATTTTACCGAGTGTTGGATCTTGAAATATCACAAAGTCTAATGATTATTCAATTACTGTCTCATTATACTAAATCCATCTTAAAATCTTATTAACCAACTTTCATTTAAAACAATTTAAGAATTCAACACACAAAATATTAATCTTAGGTAGAATTGAAAAAAATGGTTTGAGTTGTGCTTTTCTGCGTGACGCGGCAAAGTAGTTTTGCCCGGTGGTGGTGGTAAAGTAGGGGAAAATAGTGGTGGCTCATGGCTGCCTACATTCCCCTTTCATGTGCCTAACCTTTTCAAAGTATTGTAGATTTTAGTTTGCTATGAAATTATAAGGCAACCACTAAAGGTAATGTGCACGGACGTGATGAAATTGATAGCATGTTCGTAATAATTTAAAATTCTCCCAAAATAAAACCCTAGTTCACCTGTACTATCTTAAATTAAAAAATTAGGACACAATCTAAATATTACTATATATACTACCTTAATAAGTTGCTTCAAGGATTTATCAATACAATTAAGAACAAGATTTAGGATTTAGTTTTATTTGAACAAAAAATGCTGTTAAGACACAGATACATGTATTCAAAGGGGCGCCAGGAAGGAATTTTAACAATTATTCTTGGCGCCCCTGACTTCAATAAACCTACAGGTACATATCGCTCGTAAGGTCAGACAGGGGTGAATATATATATTGAGGGGAAACGTCATTCTGGGGTGAAATTGTGTAATTTATTGTTAAAAACAGATCAAAACAAAATTCATGAAAGTGTGGCAACGATTGTTTGTTTTTGATCCCGTTTCTCTTCGTGTTCTGGTTTCCACCCTTTCTAAGGTTTAAGGAGATCTTTTGAGTCCAGGAGAATTTAGGGGTTGATAACCCCCTTGACACAGGGAAAACAGGGGTGCCAAAGCCCCCTGAGTGAAGAAGGCTGGCAGCCTTGATACAACCCCTCAGGGACCATCACACTAAATAGTAGATGACTAAAATGGCTGAAGGTGTAGTGGTCCCTGAGAGGGGGAAGGTTAATTGCTCACTTGAGTCCAAAGAGCCCCTTTGAGGGGTTAAGAAGTAGATTTATTCTCCATCTTCTCCTTCATCCTCTTCACCCTCATCTTCCTCGCCCTCATCCTCTTCTCCCTCTCCCTCTTCGCCTTCTCCCTCATCTGAAAAAAAACATATTTAGACAAAGAATTAACAAATTAAAAGTAAAAAAGAAATGGAGGTTTCAGAGTAGCATTTCTCATTCAATTTGATCAGTCTGACATGCAAATACTTTAATTCATCAATTTAAAAAAGGTAAAGTTAAAAAAGTTTAAGTCATTTTGAAAAACTATCTTACCTTCACCATCATCCTCATCGTCTAATCCCTCCTCATCTTCATCCTCAATATCCTCCTCCTCCTCCTCACCTCCATCCTCTTCATGATCTCCATTCTCAGTCTTCTGCTTCTTGGGATCTGTTTCAGAATCCTGAAATTAATAAGGTTTGAAAATGTCGTATTTGTTAAAACACAATGTCGTCTTGCGATTTGCCTTTCCTACCCTCGTGTTTCCCACTATGCCATATACTAGCCGAGTAATACTGTGCTCCTATTGGAGGATAGAGTTTTGACGTCACGAGGATTCAACCAATCAGAACACAGGAACATAATAATGCCGGGTACAAGTCAATCAAAAGTTCCGATATACATATTGTTTAAAAAGAAAAAGAAACACTTTAGAACACGTTTAATAATAATTGCAAAAAAAAAATTTGAGTTAAAAGTAAAAAAACAATCAAACAACCTCCCCGAGCACCACATTACTTATTTTAACTGCATTACTAACTAAAAACTTCACTAGCTCAGTTAAAGAGAAAAAAAAACATGGTTAATTCGTCAATGTTAATAATTTAACGAAATATTAAGGTAGAATAGGGGCCCGGGGGGGGGGAGAAAATGGCCAACACGCTTACATATCCATTTGGTTTAAGGCTTAGGTTAAGATAATTTGGACTTGGACTTATCTATTTAATCCAACTCTTCGAACTTCCAGGAAATATTTTAAAATGTGCTATGGTTAAAGTGCTGTATTTAGATTTTAGCTAAAATTGAACTTAAAGTTAAGCTATATTTAATGACATATATTTATGAAAGTATACCTCTGCTGGCCTCTTGGCAGCCTTCAGCTCCTCGGCAGTGGGGGCCTCTCCCTCAACGTTATTCTTAACCTCAGCGTCAGACATTATAACTCTGTTTATTTCGTATACTTGACAGAGAGTAACAACGCGTGTAGAGTTGGTAGAAGGAATGGCGGGATAAGCAGGAATTTCCTATATTCTCATTGGCTCCCGGCCCGGCCGTTCTTCCTTCTCATTGGACGCTGCAACAGGCATTTTTAAAGTTAACATTTTACCCCTTTTTAATATTCAAAATACCTTTATGGTATTTTATTTCAAAAAATTAAAATAAGTTTTATCTTAAAATGGCTATTTTTTATCTATAATTGACACTTTTGGCGAAAATAGAGGGGGTTCGAGACTTTATTCCAAGTTCGGTGTTTGGGTTCTAGACTTGATATTCTATATGTACACAAGATCTCTTTTCTTATTATACAATTAAACCCTTTTCCCTTTAAAAATATTTAATTATAAAATGTTTTATGTAGAAATTGTTTCATATTAATTTCCACGCTTTTTTAAAAACTTTTGTTTATATCGCGTTAACAATAAAAATTGCGCGGAACAATATATATCGCATATATATATCTAATAATCGACGGACGAAAGAGACAGAGCTACGACAGAGACCGGTATTTTAACTTGAAATGTAGAATCCTCTGAGTCGATTTCCGGTTAAGTCTAACTAGAAACTTATCTAAAACTTATGAAGGGATAATTGTGCGTCTTAAATTAATCCATTCTACATAAATTGATCAATTTGCGCGTGCGCTTTTTAATTATAAGAATAATTAATAATTGTAGTATAAGAATCTTTTTGTCGTGAAAGTCATCCATTTTTTATTATTTTGTTTTACCTTTGATCCCTTTGAAACTGTGAGAGATTTTGATGAATATTTATTGAAATCAAATATATATATTGTAAACCATAAACTGCAATAGACGATCTATAATTATGCCTAATTATCATCAACAAACTCCAAAAAAATTAATTTCCTCCAAAAAAATCTTTTAATTTCGAATTTTGTTATTTTTGATCTCATAAAACCTTACATGACTGTAATGTAAATTGCAAAAAGCAATTTCTCACATAAATTCTAGCATTCCTGCATTTCTTTATTTATATTTGTACGTTTTAAACATTTATTCATAACACCGTATTTGTATTTTTCGTTAATAAAAGTTTAAAAAAGAAGACAAAAAATTAAAAGATAAATTAAAAATTAAAACTTAAAAATCGGATTTTTAACTTTTTATGTACCTGAGAAAAACTTGCTTCATGCAATTAAACAAAAACAAAATAATGTATTATCGAAAATCATATTATTTTATCATGATTGTTGTGCTTATTTATATCAATAATAATAAAATAATATTAAAATCAATTATTTTGTATTATTTTTATTATTATTATTATTATTATTATTATTATTATTATTATTATTATTATTATTATTATTATTATTATTATTATTATTATTATTATTATTATTATTATTGTTATTATTATTATTATTATTATTATTGTTATTATTATTATTATTATTACTATATCATCAGTATTTTCTTTTTCTTCTAAACTTTTGTACATATCTATACGTATAAATTAAGTTGTAATCTCTGTTTGTTTGTCCGATCATAACTCAGGAAACCCTTGACCAATTTGCCTCAAATTTTGAATTGGGAACTCGGGAGACCCACGGGAATGTCCTTAGATTAGTTTTGAGTTTCTAAAATGAGTGGGTCGGCTTTAACAGCAAAAATTTAGTTTCGCTCAAGTGCGGGTAAACGGCGGAGTAACTTTTAGTAACCTGAGCTGTGTGCAGCGCTGGGTTCCAAATCTATAGAAATGTCCAACAATATTAAACTCATTTTCTCTATTGTTGAAAACCACTCTTTTAGAAGTTGTGTAATTCTATACCAAGGAAATTGGTTAGAAAATAGGTTTCTCATAGAAATTGATATATTTCAATTTTACGTACTGCGCTTAGATTTTTAAAAATATTTTTTTTTTCTCAGATATACGTAGAGATGTGAGCGTTCGGATTTTTTCATTTTTTTGTTTACGAACAACCATTTTTTTAATAATTTGTTTTAAAAATTACTTTATTCGTTCTAAAATTATCGTTCGTTTTCTATTTATTAAATTCGTTTTCTCATGTTTGCATTACGAATTGCTGGATTTTGTAATTTGCATTTAACACTTTTTGATTACTGCAATTACAACGATTACAAACTACAAAACATGCTCATAGTCACATTGTGTAATTTGCATTTTAACACTTTTTGATTACTGCAATTATACAACGATTACAAACTAAAAAACATGCTCACAGTCATATTTTGTAATTTGTATTTAACACTTTTTGATGTATAATGTAAAAAAGAAAATGCCTAACTCCTCCATTGTCGTTCTTAACATAAAAGCATTCCTTTAGTCTGTCACAATCTCTGTCCTCTCTATCTATCCAGGTATATACGATCCCTAAAAAACAAGAGTCTGTGTTTATTTACTACAATATTAATACTATATTACTAATAATGATACACATATGGTTTTCTTTTATGCATACACACAACTTTAGGTTCTAATTAGACGAATACTCTCTTTTAGTTGCCTGCCTCTGAATTACACTGTGATTGTGAATTTAAATCTAGAACGCTTTTTATCCTGTTTTTGGTATTTAATGATATCCTATCACAAAATGTTTCCTATCACAAAATGTTTCCTATCACAAAATGTTTCCTATCACAAAATGTCTCCTATCTCAAAATGTCTCCTATCACAAAATGCTTCCTATCACAAAATGTCTCCTATCTCAAAATCTTTCCTATCACAAAATGTTTCTTTTCTCAAAATTTTTCCTATCTCAAAATGTTTCCTATCTTAAAATGTTTCTTATTTCAAAATGTTTCTTATCTTAAAATGTTTCCTTATTTCAAAATGTTTCTTATCTTAAAATGTTTCCTATCTCAAAGTGTTTCCTATCTTAAAATGTTTCTTATTTCAAAATGTTTCTTATCTTAAAATGTTTCCTTTCTCAAAATGTTTCCTATCTCAAAATGTTTCTTATCTCAAAATGTTTCCTATCTCAAAATGTTTCCTATCTCAAAATGTCTCCTATTTCAAAATTTTTCCTATCTCAAATATTTCCTATATCTCAAAATATTTCCTAATTCAAAATATTTCCTATCTCAAAATGTTTCCGTCTTAAAAATGTTTCCTATCTCAAAATTTTTCCTATCTTAAAATGTTTCCTACTGCCAAATGTTTTCTATTTCAAAATGTTTCCTATCTCAAAATATTTCTTATCTCAAAATATTTCCTATCTCAAAATGTTTCCTATCTCATCCTATCTCAAAATGTTTCCTATCTCATCCTATCTCAAAATGTTTCTCTATTTCAAAATGTTTCCTATCTCAAAATATTTCTTATCTCAAAATATTTCCTATCTCAAAATGTTTCCTATCTCATCCTATCTCAAAATGTTTCCTATCTCATCCTATCTCAAAATGTTTCTTATCTCAAAATGTTTCCTATCTCAAAATATTTCTAATCTCAAAATATTTCCTGCTGCCAAATGTTTACAGAATCTTTATATTTACAATAATAAAGATATTTTCTGGACAATATTTTAGGTAAACTTTATTTTTGAATAAAAAAATTGATTGAGCATGGTGTTAGCAATGCAAACATGAAACCCCTGAAAGTTATTGAAAAAAATCTACATCAGAAGGTGAAAAAAAGTATAATAATATATGCAAGCTACAAGTTAGAACCAGCATTTTCTTCAGACTATGTATCTGCTGCACACTCCTCTGCCGCTTTAGTAATTGTAAATTGTTGGTACAAACCAAAGAAGGACTACAACGGTTGACCCAGCTCGGATATTCAAATTACAAATGTACATGCCGGTGGGACATGACTGGTAAACTCTTTTTATTCATTTATTATAACGTCTATTTGTCACATATTCTAAACAGCAGTTTGATAATGTCACAAAAAAAACATTTAATAAAATCCCCAAAAACATCTGGCAGAGGAAAAAATTTGCAGATCAGTTTTTCTAGTTAAATAAGAGGGGGTATAGGCTTACGGCGAAAAATAAGCGCTTTTGATCGCTACTAATCTTACTCCTATCTGTTGCGTCTATAAGAAGAAAATTGTTAAAAACGACTCTTGCTGAAGAACGAAACGTCCATACAAATTCATAAACATGCAACATTCAATTTGGATCGTAAAATAATCAATTTTAATCCAAACAAATTATGCAAATATTGCAAACAATAGCCATCTATTATTTTTCGACGTATTCATATATAGTTAATATTTAATAATATTTGTGATTTTAAAAAAAACATTTCGCTGTCGCTGGATTTTCGAACATTCCTGGGAAATATGAAAATGTCGTCTTTATTGTCAAAAATCCTCTAAACAGGAATAAATGTTTTCAAAAGTAACTATTAGATCATAAAAAATAATTAAATATTATAGAATATCAACTATAAACGAATGCGTCGAAAAATTATCGATGATTAATGGTTAAAATATCTGAATTATTTGTTTGAAATTAAATTCATTTTTTACGGTCCGAGTTGAATGTTTCAACTTTCTGAATTTGTGTGGACGCTGCGTTCTTCAGTATGAGTAGTTTAACAATTTTCTCATTATAGACGCAACCCACTTTTATTTTTCGCGAACACTCCCTTTAAGCCAAGAACACTTCCCAGAGGAACTCATTCAAAAGTAAAATGGTAACAAAGTAACTAGAGTTTTTAATATTCTTTAATTTTTCAAAACAGAGGGAATTTCTAATGACAATTTTCTCTTTTTTTCCCCCTAATATATGAACAAATGTGTAAAAAACTTTCTTTCTTTCTTCTATTTTTTGTTGTTTTGAACGTTTGTATGTTTATTCTATTAGTTGAGTGTAAGAGGTGTGGGGGGGGGAGGGATTATAAGTGAGTGTATGTTAGAGTGAGTGTGTATATATGAGTGGGTTATAGTGTGTGTATGATAATTTGTCTGTTTGAGAGAGAGAACATTGATTCTAAAATCTTTAGCTTTCTATTGAGCTTTCATTTCTCTTTCCTCACTCACTCACTCTCTTTCTTTCTGTCTTTCTCCCTTCCTCAATCTCTCGCCCCTTCCCTCTCTTTCTTCCTCCCTCTCTCTCTCTCTCTTGAAAGGGACTGTCGTTGTTATTTCCAGGGACCCTTCATTTACAATAGTGTGCCCCTTTAACATGTACAATAGTGTGCCCTTTAAACATGTACAATAGTGTGCCCTTAAGCATTTACAATAGTGTGCCCTTTAAGCATGTACAAAAGTGTACCCTTTAAACATGTACAATAGTGTGCCCTTTAAACATGTACAATAGTGTGCCCTCCCTTAAGCATTTACAATAGTGTGCCCTTTAAACATGTACAATAGTGTGCCCTTTAAACATGTACAATAGTGTGCCCTTTCAACATGTACAATAGTGTGCCCTTTCAACATGTTCAATAGTGTGCCCTTTAAACATGTCCAATAGTGTACCCTTTAAATATGTACAATAGTGTGCCCTTTAAACATGTACAATAGTGTGCCCATTAAACATGTAAAATAGTGTGCCCTTTAAACATGTACAATAGTGTGCCCTTTAAACATGTACAATAGTGTGCCGTTTAAACATGTACAATAGTGTGCCCTTTAAACATGCACAATAGTGTGCCCTTTAAACATGTACAAGAGTGTACCCTTTAAACATGTACAATAGTGTACCCTTTAAACATGTACAATAGAGTGCCCTTTAAACATGTACAATAGTTTGCCCTTTAAACATGTACAAAAGTGTACCCTTTAAACATGTACAATAGTGTGCCTTTTAAACATGTACAACAGTGTGCCCATTAAACATGTACAATAGTGTGCCCATTAAACATGTACAATAGTGTGCCCTTTAAACATGTACAAAAGTGTATCCTTTAAACATCTACAATAGTTTACCCTTTAAACATGTACAATATTGTGCCCATTAAACATGTACAAAAGTGTATCCTTTAAACATGTACAATAGTGTGCCCTTTAAACATGTACAATAGTGTGCCCTTAAGCATTTACAATAGTGTGCCCTTTAAGCATGTACAATAGTGTGCCCTTTAAACATGTAAAATAGTGTGCCCTTTAAACATGTACAACAGTGTTTCCATTAAACATGTACAATAGTGTGCCCTTTAAACATGTACAAAAGTGTTTCCTTTAAACATCTACAATAGTTTACCCTTTAAACATGTACAATAGTGTGCCCATTAAACATGTACAAAAGTGTATCCTTTAAACATGTACAATAGTGTGACCTTTAAATATGTACAATAGTGTGCCCTTTAAACATGTACAATAGTGTGCCCTTTAAACATGTGCAATAGTGTATCCTTTAAACATGTACAATAGTGTACCCTTTAAATATGTACAATAGTGTGCCCTTTCAACATGTACAATAGTGTGCCCTTTAAACATGTACAAGAGTGTGCCCTTTAAACATGTACAATAGTGTGCCCTTTAAACATGTACAATAGTGTGCCCTTTAAACATGCCCTTAAAAATTCGCAAGTCATTTCTGTAGGGAAACCACAATTGAAAATATCAAATTTTTTAAGAGATAATCATGGATAACTCATTCATTGTTGATATTTTTGAAGTGTACCGTTCTGAATAGGACTTGCTACTCTATATATAGAGAGTCGCTTAAAATTACGACACAAGAGGCCGAATTTAAAGAATTTGAGCCACGGCTCAAATATGGTTGGTCCAATTTAAATTGTTTTTAATTTTTCAAGATTTAAGCCGGCGCTAAATTAAAGCAGGTTTTTGGAGGATTTGTGACGTGGCTTAAATTCATTAAATTCGGTGCACAGTCCTTTTAATGGATTTAGTGGTATCTGAATCACCATGGAGCTGTTTAGAGAGCCGTATAACAATATTTTAAGCTTTCTATTTATCACGGCGCCTCTCCCTGCAGCCTGGGGGGTTTACCCCCCCCCCCCTCAACCCTCCCTCCTTCATATTTGTAGCAGTCCTCCCACTATAAAGTCATCAATAATTTAACGATAGATTAAACCTTAAATAATATAATTAGTTTGCTTTCTTCTTTGAAGTATATGAACTGTTTTTAACTTAATTCAGAAGAAAATAATTTAGATAATTAAAACTAAGTTTCTAATGATACAAATTTATTTTAGAAAATGTCGAATCCTGCTGAAGATTAGTCCTCCCCTCAACAAAAATGATTTAAAGATAAAATTTTACAATCTGAAACCTATAAACATAAATACTATTTGTTCCTAAAAAAATTAAGACCTTTGACAAACAGAAAACAAGATTTTGTGAATTTTATAATTTGTCGCGGATTACTTAGGCACGTAAAACTTAAGAAAATTGCATTAGATAAACATTTTCTTGAACAGCTATTGAGCAGAATATAAATGCTTTGAACCGAATAAATTTATTTATCTTATATGTGTGCATAAATCAAAATTAGAGGAGCTACGAGGTCACAAAAACGTAACAGTAATGTCACATTTCGTACAAAAAAATGAATGCAACTTGGGTTTTTAATTTAAAATAATTTTCATGCATTTTTAAATATTCCTCCAATCTTATATCAGACATGATAGAACAAAGAATGATGATTTGTATAACAATAATTCTAGCAGGAGGCAAGATTAAAATTTTCAGCGAAAATGTTAAAATATTTATGTGCGAGAATATCAAAATAATCTACAAAATTGTTGTCTCTGCTAGTTCAAGTCTTATACCGAACAAAGCACAAAATGCATCACAGTATAATTATTAATTCATGAATGGTCCCAATACATTAAATTTTTTTCCAGTTTTATCAAAGATTTTTGCAAAAATGAGGTCAAAAATAGTATGTTTTGGCTTAGCTAGCTAGCTCAGAAATATTTAGGGTCTGTCTAATAAGTTGTTGAGCATTTTCAACGACTTTTATTATTACTCGAACTAAACTCAAATACTAAAAATGAAGAAAAAAGAGATCCTTATTTATCTCAGTTTTAATGGACTATTATTATTTATTTCATTTAATTTTACAAGAGTTTACAGATTTCTCAACATTTATATCCGCTCCCTAATAAATCAATATTCAGTTACAGGCTTGTATATGGACAGAGAACACCTTTTTATGCCATACAACTAAAATGAAATATTTTTTAATCTTACTTGGATTAACGCTGACAGTTTATGTGAAAGCTCAAGACATTAAAATTACTGATAATGAAGATGATGATGGAGGAACAGATAATTCCGGAAGGTAAAGCGCCTAAAATTAGAAGATTTGGATTTTCCAGTTTTTAGGAACTAAAACGTATTGGACGATCCATTGATGCTAATGGGTCCTCTTGGACAATTCATGTTTAGGGGCCTCCTTTGTCATGTTAAGGTGTCTTCTTGGACCACTCATGTCAAGGTGTCTTCTTGGACCATTCATGTTAAGGTGTCCTCTTGAACCACTCATTTTAAGGTGTCTTCTTGGACCATTCATGTTAAGCTGTGTCCTCTTGGAGCACTCACGTTAAGGTGTCCTTTTGAACCACTCATGTTAAGGTGTCTTCTTGGACCACTTAAAATAAAGTGCCCTCTTGGAACACTTATGTTAAGGTGACCTCCTGGACCACTTATGTTAAGGTGTCCTCCTGGTCCATTCATGTTAAGGTGTCCTCTTTGACCACTTAAGTTAAGGTGTCCTCTTGGACCACTTATGTTAAGGTGACCTCTTGGACCACGTCATGTGAGGTTGTCCTATTGGACCACGTCATGTTAAGGTGTTCTCTTGTACAAAGGGTCAATTTAGTATATAATAAATCATGTTTATCCTCATAGACATTTTATATTTGTTTAATTACAGTTGCCAGGGTGAAGGACAATCAACATGTGAAACTGGACAATTTTGCAGGTAAATAATATAAATTAGGAAAATAGATAATATCTCTTTAATGTCTTTAATATTTATGATGTGAACCGGATTAAAGGAATTGCTAGAACTCGTTGAACTACATAGACTAAGTTAAACTACATAAGTTTAACAATAACATAGACTAAGTTTGCCTACTTTTCGTATTCATTGAATTTTGTGGGGTCGTTCAACTATTTTATTCGGGTGGCCACCATATTTGTTTTCAAATCCTGAAAATCATATTTACTATTTTCCTATTTTTGTTCAAAAAAAATATGTTATTGAACGGTTTCTTAACAGCAAATTAATTAGATAATATTATCTATAATGGTATTTCTGAACATAGTAATAATAATATTAACAATAATGATAATAATATTAATAATAATAATAATAATAAAAATAATGACAATAGTGATTATTATTTTTTCTTCAGGAAAAACAAATGTGTTGAAGTTAGTCTATTGGTAAGAAGAAAAGTGTCCAAAATGTATTTAAATATTTTCCATTTTGGTATTCTTTAATTTGTTAGAACTTTAACGTTATTTTCTTAAAAGTGCATGCCTAGAATTAAAAAAAAGTATGTTTTTCCATATTCTATTTGAATTTTTTTTTGTTATTTAAGTTTTAAGTTTTTAGCTTTTAAAATGCTTTGAAGTGGCTATATCGTGCAACAGTTTTACATAAACATAAGATCAAAACAACAAAAATAAAAACTATTTATTTAATAATCTCTAATCAAGTACAATTTGTGGCATTAGAAAAGTAACTCCGTACAGCGGTATTTTACGTCTCTAATCACTGCTGAAATTTTTCAGAGTCAGACAAAATATTCGAGAATAGTGACAAATTTAGACTAAACTAGTGAAGTTGGGTAGACACCTAGTACAGTTAAATGGTTTGTTTCTTTCTTATTATTTACTGTTTTCACTTAAAACTAGAACGATGTAAGCCCTATGCATATTGCATTATAATAGGGTGAAAATCACTTTTAAATGACGTACTTTAAATCAAATATTGAAATGTAGCCAATCATCGGACAGAATTATTCCCAGTACAATACGAGGATAAAGCCGGACCAGTACGAATTTAGTAGAGAATTAATAATCCCTGACCTTCCTAGGTGGGATTGTTTTATCTTATGTCATCGAAACAAAAAAAGCACAGGTTTGAACCGTGTCACATTTGCTACCAATCACGTAATGCATTTTTTATAATCTTCTTGTCACCTTTTGTACTTGCTAAACTATTTGGATTTTACTCTCTACCTGTATTTCTAGCCTCCTGGTTGCCAGAAGGATTCACATTGCCAGACCGGGTTCACATGTAATGTTCTTCATGGTGTTTGTATCAAGTAATATTTTTAAACCTATTTTTTTAGCTTTTGTTTAGTTAAAGAGAAATCTGGTTTATAGAGGTACAACTCGTTTAACTCTTAACTAGGGGTTGGGGAAGGGACGGATCGAGAAATTACATATTTCATTGAGATTTAAATCTTGGAATTACTTAAGGTCTTAAAAAAACGCAATTTACAGTGGTAGGTGATATTCTCAATACAATGAAGACGACTTTCGGTTTAAATTTTGATTATATCAAGCTCCTAAACTTTTACATGTAAACTTTAAATTAAAAAAGCTCATTAGAAATGAATACTTAAAAAGAGTAATCACCATTGTATTGATATCATCGCTTACAAGCTTATACATATATATATATATCAAAAAATTTGGGCCCGATCGGTTCAGCCGTTTTGACGTTTATTGGATACAAACAAACAAACAAACAGACACCCAGACAAGCCAAATTTATAATTAGATAGTAGTTATTTCTGTTTGTTTGTTTGTATGTCCGATTGTAACTCAGGATCCCCTTAACCGATTTGCCCCAACTTTTGGTTGGGCTCCTTGCAAGTTTTTTTTCATGAAATCAGTATAAGTTGGAGAAGCAAACCTAAAATTATTCCTTTTGCATTCTATCTTTTGAGTTCCACTTTATTTCAGGGGATATTAGTTCCAAAACTAACACTTGGCCCATTTCTAACACTGAGTGTTAGAAATGGACCAAATGTTAGTTTTGGAACTAATATTCCCTGTATTTATTTATTAGGGGTGTAAATAATAATTTAACAGTGACAATTAACAACTTAAATTATATTTGAGATAATTTCCTATTTTATTTGATATTATTTTTTTTAGTTACATAACAGAAGAGCAGAGACAGGTAATACAAAGAAAGCATGGGGGGCCATTCTTTTTCCCCCCCCCCCCCCCCCTCTTCTCAATTGTCCACATTTCTTCCTGATTTACATTCTCTCCTGATCTATATATGTAATAATAAAAAAATTGCAAGAAATAAGAAAAAGCAATTGCAAAGAAAATAAATGTCAGTTAATCGTCTGAAAATAAAATCAATAAAATTTAAAAGTTTTTAAACATGATAAAATATATATAAAACTGAGATGTTAATTGCTCATAAACCATAGAATTGGATATAAATTTGATATATATTGGATAAATATTGGATATATATGGGATATGAATTGGATATAAATTGGATATATATTGGATATATATTGGATATATATTGGATATATATTGGATATATATTGGATATATATTGGATATATATTGGATATATATTGGATACATATTGGATAAATATTGGAAAAAAACAATTGTTTTGTTTGTTAAAAGTGATTTTTAATCAATTGATCAATTATTGATTTGATTAAGAAATGGAATGATGCGGAGAAGAAAGCCCATGATCGATTAATCAGTTCCCAAGGATCAGGGAACAAGAAAGAAAGAGGAAATGACAATTGAAGAAAAAATTAGTAAAAGAAATTAAAATTGGATTGTGATTCGAGATCAAGAGAAAATTATTTTAAAAGAAAATTAAAATAAAGATGATAATTAATATTTCTAACGCATATTGTGTTTTAATGGTGATTTAAATGCATTTAGTTTAATTAACAGTGACCCTGGATTGTTTAAATCCTTGCACCCCAAAAATTCAAATTTTCGGATTTTCTACACAATTTCTGTTTTACGTAATTCTTTAGAACTAAAACTAACTACATCGAAGTGCATCCATCATGTTTGTATTGGAATATTTTCAGTTATATTTTTAATTTTGATCTCTCTTTTAAAATCAATTAAAAATGAAAAGAATTTATATCATTAAATATTTTAAAAGTTGAATACAAAAAATCCACATTTAATAAATAATGGGTTCTATATAAAGTTAAAACTTATTGTAACGATCTAAATAGTTTTGCGTGTAAATTGTATAGATTCAGTGTGCAGCATATTAATTTATAGAATACTAGCCTTAGAGGGCGCTTCGTGCTCATCTTCTAAATTAATTGTGAACATGTTCTCTTTGTGTACATCGTAAAACAAAACAAAAAGAATTCGCGGATTTTCACAAAAAATTTCGTGGATTTTCAAAATTTTCAAAATTTTTATGAAGATCGAATTTTGATGGAGACAAATATTTGAAATTTTGATCATTCATAAACCTTCCCTGGGGTCCCTAGATGTCCCACAAAAATTTGGGCCCGATCGGTTCAGCCGTTTTGACGTTTATTGGATACAAACAAACAAATAGACACCCAGACAGACAAGCCAAATTTATATATAGAATAAGAGTTGAGTTAGGATGTAGATTACAGAGACACCAATATAGAATGAGATTTGAATTATATTGTATGTGCACATATTTATTCATAAGAGATATAATTTCCAAATCCAATTAAACTAGCACTTTAATGTAGATTACACACTGATACTAGGATACAATGGTAGGTTGTTGGCAAGGGTGTAGACAGAAATAAATCTAAGGGGAGGGGGAGTGAAATATGCGAGAAGCGCAAATTTTTTTTCCCTCCTAGGAGCTCCGAGGGAAGGGGGGGGGGCGGCAAAATTTGACTTGTAAATTCAATACATTTGGCTGCGGATACTTTAAAGGTCAATGACCTCACAAGTACCATGTTCTATGTTCTTCACTCTTTAGTTTCAGATTTTAAAAGTGTGATAGCTCTTAGTTCTAGGGGGGGCTACGCTTCCCCCTTTACAGGCCTAGGGGAAGCACTGCCCCTCTTCTTCCCCTCCCCCCCCCATATACGCCCTTGGTGTTGGTGTTATCTTTATACAGACAATCTATTATTTCAACTGTAAAAGACGACATTTCATCGGAGTCTTTAATTTCAAATTGCTGTACACCGCCCGGAGCAATTACGTTATCAGCTGGTGCTTCATTGGCATTTATTATTTCACATAAAAGTTGTTTTGCCCCGAAAATATGAATTTTTAACTCACACTTAAATCCATAAAACAGTGAAACCTCTAACCTAACATTGCAATACACAAAAGTGAAGTATTTTTAGAAATATGAAATTGTTCAGCAAAAACCAGCTTAATTTTCAAGATTTTGGAGGATTTGATGTTAAAATAGTTTGCTCCAATAGGCATTTTTTTCTTCACAGGTATTTTTTAAAGAACCATTAACTGTGAGAAAATTTCTCCTTTCTATTGCTCAACTGCGTAACTCATGTTTGCAAAGGAACTGAGTTTTTTGCCACAAACTCAAATCTACAAATCCCCGTTATAATTGCACCTTGAATTGGTGTAAACCTTTTATATTTCAAACTTTAACTATTTGATCTTTTAGAATTTTCATAGTCTAAAATTTTTCAAGTCTCAGAAATCAGGTTGCGAAGATATAGGGACTACAGACAATCAGAATTCGTGGCAAAAACTCAGTTTCTTTATTACGGGATACTGGTTACGAAAGTGACATGTTGGTAGATATCAAGATGAAAAAATGGGCAAGAATTATTTTTATAAAAATAGTAAAAAATCAATGTTTAATAAGGAGCTGAACACTTTTTCTAATTTACTAATTTCTAATTTTCTAATCCTTACATTTTTAAAACCTGACAACGTAGACTTTGAAATTTCAAACTATGAACTCTTCTTTTAGATCAACAATTCTTAACTTGATTTAGTACAGGTTTTATACAATTATAGCTTACAAAGATATAGGGAATTATAAAGTTAGAGTTTGTGGCAAGTGTTTAGTGCCTTGGTTTCAAGAATTGCTAGTAAAGTGGGATTGAGTCTTATATTTTATAAAAAATGTTATGTTTGATAAAATTAAAGTTTGTTGGACTAAACATATTATTTTTATTTCATGTAAAGTTGAATTCTCACACTCTGCACACTTTGTTCTCGAATATGATACCCAAGAACCCAAAAATAAAAATATTACAATTTTGCATTTTTAAATTTTAGTTTAGTGACACACATTGTATATAGAAATTTTTTAAACAATGATACTTAAACTTAACAATATTCAAATATAGATTAGATATCCATTTTTAATTTTTTTAAATGATTATTTTCATTTGCGGTTCCTCAGAATCAAATTGTGATTTCCGCAGAATAAGACAATTTTCAAGCTAGACAAACAATGTTTTCTTCCACACATATCGATCAGATTACGTTTTCAAAGGCACCACTGTAAACCAGGCATGCCTTTTTTTAATGTAGGGTCACTTAGAATTACTATGCAAAGTCCAATAAAGCCTATATTACCACTTGCACCAGGTTTGTATTAAATAATATATCGGCAATTTTGATTAAATAAGCAATTGTTAGTTGATTGACAAAATTATAAATCTCCTCGGTTTTCTATATTTTTAATTTATTTCTATTTCATTATATATTTTCAGACTGGTTTTGGCCGGGTCCAGCTCATTTCTTAGAACTATTCTTAAGGTTGGTTTGTAATAAATACAGTTTGAACATACCTAGATAAATTCCGTTGTACATTGTCTGTAAATCTAACTGCGCTAATCCTTAAATACGCAAAACTTGTATTGTGACTAGCTACATATTGTTTTTAGCTTAACTACGATGATATATATCTGCGCACATATTGTAAATACATATAAGAACTTAACATGTAAGATATTTTGTAAATACACATTAGTTAGCATAGACTCCGCTTTAAATACAGTAATAGAAGTACTTTGGTCCTTAAGAAAGTTTTAAAATGAAAAATCTTCTTTATTGTTACTCGATTAAAGTTTAAAGACGTATCTCTTTAAATTAAACTTTGTTGTAAGTTTAATATGATATTTAAACTACTTACTGCGCCTAGGATGTTGATTTAGAGGATGATTATTGTATCCTCATTTTACCTGAAAATACCCCAGAAGAAGTGGAGAACATGGTATCCCTACTGTACAGTATGGATGCAGCTTTCGCAAAACCGGTTTCAAGGATAGTGGATCAGTTGGGTATTGGGGAATTTAGCCAATCAAGACCCATAACAGGTACATAGTCACACAGTGTACATATTTTTTAATCAATATGTACAAAGTATAATTCGGTGATGGGGATGGACCAAACCTCTGTAGAGTAAAAAAGTAAATGTTAGTTCCACATTTATTGAAAATATATATCGGTCTGGGTTGATCCTCGTCAGTTTTTGAGATTAACATGTATGTCAATATACTTGGACAATTATGTACACAAATAATAGAAGAAAATGTTTCATTTTCAAACTGGTTTTTGTTGGGAAAACAATTTTTTTTGGTTTAAAAGTATATAAGTTGTAAAATTTGCAAGTTTAAAATTAAATAGCATTTCTTTGTTTAATGAAACAATTGTGATTTTATTTTTTATTAAAGAGCAATTTCTCTCTGCTGGGGGAAGCACACGCACACCTGAAACAGAAAAGAAAACGAAGCTAGAAGATAAAAATTCGGTATACAACTATTATGATTTTGCAATATAATATTTAGAATGATTACCATAAAACTATAAACAGAACTGAGAACAATTTTGATGAAAACTCAGAAATCAGAGACCAAAAGAAATTTCTTAAACACACGATAAATGCGCCTTTAAAAAAAGGTAAAAAATAGAACATTTTATCTTTAGTAGACAAATTATTAAACATTTTAAAAAGAATATTGAATTTATGGAAACTGTTTTTATAAACATTTTTATTTTTTATCTTGTGTTGTAACTTTTCAAGGTGGATTGAATGGAAGCAAATACACGTGCAATTTTTGTACCTTCTCCACAGACCGGAAGTTTAGTTTATCAAGACATCTTGACCGGAAACATCCTGACACTGGACCAGGTTAAATATGCAAATCTAAGGTTCCAAGAATGTAATGTAAATCATGGTTTTAGTAAGAACTCTACTGTCTTAAACCTGAACCTGAACCTCGGAATCAATATTATTCTAGAGTTAGTTTTTAAATAATGCAAGACAATCTGAAATTAAAGTTTATTTATTTTAATTTAAAAATTTAAAATTTTACATATTTCAAACACAGTCTTTTTTTCTGAAGAGATATATAAATTAACATGTTTTTACGGAACCAAATAAGTATATCTTAAAACGAGATAAGTTGCCAGGTTCTACCAGTAATTCTATAAAAACTAATTTAATCCTTATATTCAAATTGTATCACGAAGGTGTTTAGCAAACAATGAATTAAATGAGATTTCTTTTTAGATTCTGGAGATTTGAATGCGGCTGAATCAAATAAGTTAACCGGAACAGAACTATACCAAGGGTGTATGCCTGACGAACAGGACTTAATGGACTGTATTGCTGTTCAAGAATTAGAAGAAACAGCTGTGCAGATGCAACAAAATCAAAATGGTGAAAATTTGGTGATAATTCATTACATGCGTTTATAAAATTTAATTAATAATATTAAATTTTAAATTTTTTTAACAAATCAAAAATAAAATTGCTTTACAATATTAAATGCTTTCATTTTAGTAAAATATGAAAAATATTTCAAATCTCACAAAATCTATACATAGATCCTGAACCGACGCTGTACCCTTGTAATATCTGTGAATTTTCGACGAAAAAAATGCACACTTTGAGAAAACACAAGTTTACAGAGCATCCAGACCATGTGGCAGGTAAACCTAGACATTTTTTCTAATAAAAAACTATTTCGTTTGATGCAAGGAAAGTTAATTGCGGTCGCGTATACATATTGAAACCAGTTCTCTCTGGGCGGAATTTGTAAACAAGAATAAATGCATCAGTGTTCGTCTGGTATCCGAGGACGATAAAAAACATTTAATTTTAAAATTCACATAATAGTTTCCTATGACCAGAATATTTCATTGATTTTTGATGTGAAAATGGATCCCATGTGAGGCTGTGACATCCGTCTTGTGTTTACTTTTCCGCCCAAATAACTTTCCTTGCATTATAACCTTGGTTTGATGTGTGTATTATAGTGGAGGAGGATTTGAAAAGGTTCTCATGTGAACAATGTGAGTTTACGTCCGACAGAAGATATAGTTTGCAGAGACACATGGAAAGGAAACATCCGGATTTAAAGAAAACAGGTTATAATCTCAAATAGGGTGCGACTCATACAACTGTACAATATAAAGACGACATTTAAGCAACTTTTGTGTATTTGATGTTTTTATAAAACAAATAGTTTCTTAGTAGCTCAAAATCTTCATATAAAGTGAAATGGGTTTATGCAGTAAACTGTGCACAAATTATGTGTTTCACATTCATTGAACTATTTAATATCATGATTTGAGTCTTAAAGTCGTCTTCCTTTCCCCACTTTATATTCAGGGTGTCTAAAAAACGGAGAACAGTGGTCTACAGACTCGTTTGTAATAGGATTTAAAGATTGAGACAAATTTTTAAAATCTATGTACAATTCTTGATTCAATGAGGTTAATTTTAATCTTATTGATCTAAAAATGACAATTTTATAGGCTCCTAAAGGTTCCAACTGGAGTGAGTAATTTTGGTAAAAATTAAATAATCTCACAATTTTGTATCAAAGTCTACAGACTTATCTGTCCTTTTTTAATATCTACGTAGAATTTCCGATTTGTTAAGCGCAATATAAAGGCCTGTAGATCTAATCGGCTCCTAAAATAGCTATCCTGGACCCTGCTGTCTCCGAAAAGACTATTTTTTAAGTTAGATAAAGAGCCCAAAATTGTCTTGCTGCTAATGGTGGACATCTTGAATAATATTGTTATTAACTGTAAACTAAACTGTAATAAACTGTAACCTAACATTGAATACAAAATTGTGCAAACGGAGATTATCTTTTACCAAATTTACTCACTCCAGTTGGAAACTTTAGGAGTCTATAAAATTGTTATGTTTAGATCTACAAGCCTAAAAATTAAACTCCTGATTAGAAATTTGACGTAGATTTTAAAAATGATCTCAATTTTTAAAATCCGATAACAAACGAGTCTGTAGACCCTGATTCCCCGTTTATTGAGACACTGTAAAAAATATGAAATGCATTTTCTTAATGATTTATTGATCTGTTCGTCATTTTATCCGTCTAAACATTAAGTTGTTTTTAATATGTGTTTTATATAGTTCTCAGTTTTACAGTACACAAAGCAACCTGAGGTGTACACTGTACATGTGTATTTATTTTTTAAACCTTTATTTAACTGTTGAATAGAAGAAGAAAAAGATTCAGCATTATTATTATTATTTTAGTAATTATTGATAGTTATATTCTAGTTTCTACTGCTCAACCCTACACCTGTGAAAGATGTCCCTACACTGCCCAGCTGTACTCTATACTACAAGAACATGTACATAAAGTACATAATAAACCTGTTCCTATTCTTCCTTGTGATAAATGTGAATATGTAGCACCTAGCAGGCTCAAACTAAAGCAGCACAGAAGTATGAAACATGAAAAAAGCATTTTTAATTGTGACAAATGTACCTTTTCTGCGCGCAAGTTTTCAATGGTAAAAAGACACAAAATAAGCGAGCACGGTGGGTTTTCGTGTCCGCACTGTGAATACACTACAAATCTACTTCCAAGCCTTAGGTAACAAAAAGATGATAATTCTGATGATTTTTATATCTTTGTTATTATTGTTATCATCATTATCATTATTATCAGTATTATTATTATTATTCATTATTATTATCATTATCATTATCATTATCATTATCATTATCATTATCATAATTATTATCTTTATCATCATTATTATAATTATTATTATGTTTAAAGAATCCATGTGTCTGGGAAACATGAAGGTGCTAAGTATCTATGTGATCAGTGTGCTTATGTTGGATCATTTCTAACAAGTCTACATGCACATAAAAAGAAGGTACATTTAACTTATTTAGCTTTATTTAAGAAAGTGATCACTCACCACAAACTTTAATTTTCTATTTTTTATATCAACATAATGACAATATGATCTAGTGGAATTCATAGATTTAAAAGATCTGAGATGGAATTTAAAGAATTTAAGCCGCGGTTTAAATCCGCCAAAACCCGGTTTAAATTAAGCGCCGGTTTAAATCTTGAAACATTTGATTACAATTTTAAGTGGAACCAACCATATTTAAACACCGGCTTAAATTTAAACCGCCGCTCAAATTCTTTAAATTCGGCCACAGGACTTCAGGTTGCAAAGATATAAAGATGAGCAAATTAGATTTTAAGGAGAAAAGTCAATTTTATTTTATTCTTTCTTGTTTTCTAGACCATACTAGGGGTTCCAGTGGGGAGAGGTGGGGTGGCAATTCTGATAAATAATTTCTTATTAATATATTTTTAATCCTTAAATTAAAAATAATTAAAAATACAAATATTGACCACGAGAGAAAAATGTTTTCAAGACTAGGTAATGGGAAACCATTTTAGATTTAACGACAAGGAATTTAATGATTGTGAAATAGAATTTTGTGAAAAAGAAATTTTACTTTGCATAAAGTTTGGTAATTTCTTCATTCTGTATTTAATTTAGGGTGATAACAGTAATTTCAATCATTATATCCAACATTTCACTAAAAATATGCTACGGAGAGAAAAATATTAAATATTCAATTTCCTTGTAAAATGAAAAAATATTTTACAGGGAATTGATTAAACAAGTTTTGCTGCAAATCTTAAATATAAGACGATATTCTCTTTTTTCTAATTCCATTTTCCATTTGAGATACTCTTCCTATTGTTTTGGAATCAGCTAATCTTATATTTTGAATTTCTTCCATAAATAATATAGGGGTGAATTTTCGGTAAAACTCAAAACCTGACTTTGTCATGTGAGTTTACCAAAATATCAAACAGTTTTAAGTATTGCAAGAAAAACATTTTGTTTATGGCGAAACTCTAAAGTAATCTTCATTTAAAAATCGTAAACAATTCCTTTAAGGTCCATGAGGGTGCACGGTATTCCTGTGATAGTTGTGAGTTTACTACAACGAGTTCCAGTGCTTTGGGAAAGCACAAACAGATCAAACACCTGGGCGTCAAGTACTTTTGTGATCAGTGTGAATATTCAACAACCATTAGATTTAGTTTAAAAACACACATTCAGGTTTGTAATAAAATATTTAATAAAAATGTAGATATTTCTAAAAATAACTTTTTACTTCTAACCTCTCATGAGTAGTTCACAACCCTAGCAACCTGATCTCGTAGACCTTTGAAATTTCCACTATCAGATTGAAAATGTATATGGATTATACAATGTAGAAAAGGAAGACAACTGTTAAATTCAAGTTCTGAGTTAAAAAAGTTCAATGAAGATGAAACACAGGAATTATTCATCACAGTATATTCAAATAGACGAAACAGACCCATCCCTGATTAAGTTAAATTTCAACCTACTGGTAAACTATTTGCTTTACCAGAGGCCTAATTTAAAGGATTTGAGCTGCGGCTTAGATTTAAGCCGCGGCTCAAATATGGTTGGTTCCACTTAAAATCGTAATCAATGTTTCAAGATTCAAGCTGGCGCTCAATTGAAACCTGGTCTTAGGGGATTTGAGACGCGGCTCAAATTCATTAAATTCCTTACATATTGTCTTCCCATCTATAGTTTTGGGGGTTCCACTAAAATATTAGACAATACAATGTAATCGTTTTTATATTTAGAATAAACACACGATATACAAATACAAAAACAGATGATTGTTTGTTTCAGTCGAACCACGATGGTATCCGGCATCCCTGTAATGAATGCAGCTACCAGGCGACAACTTTACAGATCTTGAAGAGTCACAAGAAGAGCATCCATGAAGGGGTTCGCTATCCCTGTGATATGTGTGGATATGCTGCTACTGCTAAATATAAACTGAAATTACACAAGATGAAAAGGCATGTTACAGAGTAAATGGTCAAACTTATGATTTAAATTTTATTTAATTGATAATTTAAAAAATTAGATTATTTTAATTATTTTTCTGTAATAGTGAATAATAAGAAAAATAAAACCGTATTTTTAAAAATTAATACTTTTTTAACGAATTCCATCATTACTGTGCTTTTTAGAAAGATAATACGCATTTAGAATTAAGCTTTTTGAAACATTTCAAAAGTGTGTATAAAAAGTACGCTGTATACAATTTATAATATATGGTATTACAATTAGTGACGGTATATGAGGTTTTTATCTATCTGTCTTAGGAGACGACATTTTCCGTACATTAGAGAGCATCTAGAGTAGCAAACCTTATTATATAACCTTGCTCACAATAAGACTATCACTGTTGTAAGTGTAGTATTGTTTGAAAACCAGGTGTTTTTTTTTACTATTTCTATCGGGTTTAGGAAATCTTGAATTAAAGTTTTTGTTAACAATGCTTTGATATCTGAACCCTCTTAAAGATACTATAGACGGTATTTCAAGGGACCAAAGACGGTATTTCAAGGGACTAAAGACGGTATTTCAAGGGACTATAGGCGGTATTTCAAGGGACTATAGGCGGTATTTCAAGGGACTATAAACGGTATTTTAAGGGGCTATAGACGGTATTTCAAGGAACTATAGACGGTATTTCAAGGAACTATAGACGGTATTTCAAGGGACTATAGACGGTATTTCAAGGGACTATAGACGGCATTTCAAGGGTATGTACAGTATTTCAAGGGACTAAAGACGGTATTTCAAGATACTTTAGACGGTATTTCAGATATCCATTATTTTATTTCAAAAATTGTTATTTTTGATCGTGATTTCTCTATAAAGTGAAAAGATACAGAGAAAGTTATCAGAATTAAATACAATTTAAGCTTTAAAAGAATATGATATCTTCCACATTTTTAAACAGATAAATGGTTCAAGTGTACCGTTGTGAATTGGGCATGCCCCTCCTCACATAGAAAGTTCCTTATATAATCCTGTTCCCAAGGTGAATTCTATTGTTTAAATGTACTTAGTACTTAAGTTTGAGAGTGTATTGCAAACTATTAGATAAAAGAATCCGACCTGGATTCATCTTGCATAATTATTGAACTTTAATCTCAGAATTCCTAAAGATATTCTGTTATAAAATACATATCGTAAGAAACTGCAAAAATGGAAAATTTTTCTGCACTGTTTGACCCGTGCAAATTTAACTATACCAAGCCTCCACGATACATCAGAGAAATTGAGTTTTAGTCTTATTTTCTAATCCCTATATCTTTGCCAACCCTTGTTATAGACCTTAGATATTTCAAACTATGAATTCTGATAGATCAGCTAGTCAATGTATGAATTCTGATAGATCAGCTAGTCAATGTATGAATTCTGATAGATCAGCTAGTCAATGTATGAATTCTGATAGATCAGTTAGTCAATGTATGAGTTCTGATAGATCAGCTAGTCAATGTATGAATTCTGATAGATCAGCTAGTCAATGTATGAATTCTGATAGATCAGCTAGTCAAAGTATGAAATGTCAAAAGCTTAAACTATCAGGTTACAAAGATATAGGGATTCAAAAGTTTGAGGTAAAATTCAAATTCTTTTATGCTAAAACGCGATAAATACATTTTCAAAAATCAAATTCTGAACTGAATTTTTTTTTAATCTATCATAATTTTTGAGACATAAGATATACCTTTTCTAAAAAATATTATTAAGATTTAAATCAATCTTTTAAAGAAAAAAAGTTAAATAGAATTACAAAATATCAAAAAATTAAAGATTTCAACAAAATCAACTCAGTATTTGTTCAGTTGGGTAAGAACCTTCAAAGTTTTGAATAAAGGAATTGAGTCTTTGCCACAAACTCAAATGTTCTAATCCCTATTTATTTACAATTTGATGGTGGAAACCTTTGATATTTCAAACTTATAGTTTGTGGCAAAGACTCAACTCAATTGCTTAATAGCGCAGGCTCAGAACTGTTTATAGCGGAGACTGGAGACTGGAGAGGTTTGGAACTGAATAGGAAATCTGGGAAGCTCATGAAAAATGGTTTCCAAAAGTACATATTACATAGAAATTTATAAAAACTGATTATTATTGTTATCATTATTTGATTTTGTAAGATATGTTCAAAGGAATTGAGTCTTTGCCACAAACTCTGATTTTCTAATCACTATATTTTTGGAACCAAATGTTGCATACCTTAGATATTTCAAACTATGAATTCTGTTAGATTAAGTTTTCTGAGTTTGAAATATCAAAGGTTTACAACATCGTGTACTAAAGATATTGAGGTTTTAATATTTGATTTTGTTCCAAAGACTCAATTCCTTTGGTTTAAGAGGTACTGATGAGCCATAGCTTAGTTCGGTTTTAACGTTTCACAAATATCAAAGACATTTTACAAACTTATTTGTGTTTTTTTTTAAAAAGTTTGCTTTTTTTGAAAATATTAACCCGAAGAGAAATATATGCAAAAAAACAAACAAAAACTTTAAAGACAAAAACCTTAACTTTTAACTAAAAAAACTAGAAAAAAAGTAACAACCTTTATGTATGTGTCTTTCTGCTGAAAATTCTGCTGAAAGGAATAGTCAAAGTATAAATACTTTGAAGGTTTTCGCACTGTTGCTGCACTGGTGTAGGAATAAGAAAAATTTTGTGGAGAGTCTTCACCTTTCAATTGTTTTAATCCTAGTTTCTTAATTCATTCTTTTAGAAATGATTTTTGTGGATTTTTATTTAATTTTTGGCAGATTTTGCTATATGGTTTGATGGGCAATAGCAATAATTTTTCTAACCTTTTCTTAAAAATTAAGCGCAAGTCAGGCTTACTTTTTTTACTAAAAAGTATGAAGGAGTTTAATCTCAAGTGACCCTCCATTTTAAGAGGGACATCCTCAATTTACAAAGGTACTCTTCAAACCTTTGACTGATCATCTATAGACAGAGATCTTGCAGTAAATACACAACGAATCTGAAAACGAAGATATCCCAGAGGAGGCTAATCCTTGCTTTGGTTTGCTCCAATTATAATTTTATAATTTTTATTCTTATATCTTATAGATAAAAAAATTGTTTAAATTTGTACATATATATATGAATTTTCGTATAAATTTGACAAAGTTTTATATCAATTTCTCGAGACAGAAACATCAGATATAACTTTCATGTGTTGCGATCAAGAGCTAAAGTGATTACCTTTCAGTCTATACCCCCTTTCATTTTTTCCTGTACAGTCCCTTTAAAAAACATTCTGTAAAAGTTTGCTTTTATAAAACTATTACCCTAAGGGAATATAAATATAAGGTAAAAATTAAGCTAAGAAGATTGTTTTTGTTCTTTTTTAAATATCTTCGTTTATGGTTAAAATTTGGCATACGACGGTTAGAAAAGCAAATGTCTATAGGAAAACCTAGTTGTGGAACGTTTTTAAGGTCAAAACATTTTTAAATTTTTTTAAAATTCGGTGATGGTGATGGACCAAACCTCTATAGAGTAAAAAAGTAGATGTTAGTTCCACATTTATTGAAAATATATTTCTGTCTGGATTGACCCTCGTCAGTTCTTGATATTGTTTCTGTCACAAAGGTTAAAAACGAACTTTTCTATTGGCCATTACAAGTTCTATGTATTGTTCTTATTTTGTAGTTGATATCATATAATCGACCTATTTCAAGAACAAATATTAAATTAAAAAAGTTTATTTGAATTTCAATAAATGTCAATAGAGACTTCTACGTGATTTCCTCTTCTTATTTACTTGATTATTCTGAACCTGGGATTTCTATTTGTTCTTATCTCTCCCTGTATATCCCGGTATATAACATCAAGCAAATGCTTTCACCTTCAGTTACTCATTCAGATCAAAGATGTCAGTAAGCTTAGAAACAAAGGTAATTGACATTTTACTATTTATGGGACTGTGAGCGTAATTTGAAGTGAGCTTTTATGCAAAAATAACAATGTCTGATTCATAAAAGCGTTGACTGATCAAGTGTAAATGAAATATCCATGTTTATAATTTTGAAAACGGATTATTATTAATTGTGGTTTCAAAAGTGACTTGCGCATTTCTATTGTAGAAAAACATAAAGAATATGTTAAACATTTTTTATCAAATAACGGTTTCAAGGGTACCGTTGTGAATCAGGAATTGCCATCTTTACGTGGAGTTATACCTTTAATACACGTCAAATACAATTTTATATTTCATTATTTTTATGTATATTTAAAAGTTACACCAGAGATTTTTAGTAATTAATATTTTTTTCAGAGCCAATTTGGATATTCTTTCGGTTGCGGTGTTCCGCAAGGAATTGCTTCGAGTCCCAAGGAGACCTTTATGTTTGGCAATCCTAAACCTGCGGGTGGGGATTTCTATCAACTCATTGGTAAACAGTCTCAACAAACTAGCTTTGGAGGTACTTAATTAGCTCTAGTTAAATGATTCATTTTGATCAGCTTTAGCTTAATAATATACTTTAATCAGTTTTAGTTGAATGATAAATTGAAAACAAATTTGGGAAAAAAAATACTTACAGTAATAGTAATGTTTTTAGGTGCTCCTGCTACTGCACCGAATACTTATACTCCGGTAAGACCCAGAAAGCAGAAAACTAACTTTAGATTCACTCTAGGTACTTATTTATTTCGATTATTAAAATATTTAATTTTGATTCTAAAATAATGAAAAGTAATCAGTATTTTTATTTAGATGAAACCTCTGGTAAGCTCACCCAAAGACAAAGAGAATTCTATGAAGAAAATGGATTCCTTGTAATTCCAAACCTTATCCCTGATGAATTGATTGATGAATGCCGGAAACGGTTTCTCGATCTTGTAAACAAGAAGGCAGAGGCCGGAAGTATTTTATTGATGAAAGACCTGTCTCTCAAGGACAAGAAAGGGTTGCCCAATGAAAGAATTTACAACAAAATTCAAGATTATGTGTGGGACGAAGTTCTCTCCAAGTATGTTTGTCTACCGGAGTTACTTGACTATGTACAGTGTTTTACCGGTAGTGATATTCGTGCAGTACACTCTATGTTGATCAACAAACCTCCAGATGTTGGAACTAAGACCTCTAGGCACCCACTTCATCAGGTATGTACTACAGTGTACATGGGTCCAATCGTTTCATGATCTAAACCTGCACAAGGTTTTGCTGTTCTAAAGTAACCGTACAGCATATATATTCACTCTTTATAACAAAGTTTAGAGTATTTTTTAATGAAAATTATGTTTAGGACTTGCATTACTTCCCATTCCGTCCTGCTGATCGTATAGTAGCTGCTTGGACCGCAATGGAACATATTGATGATACTAACGGTTGTCTGGTTGTACAGCCTGGGACTCATAAAGGAGGTTTAGAACAACATGATTACCCAGACTGGGAGCAGGGGGTTAACAAGATGTATCATGGTATCCGGGGAGCAGAAAACAATCCTAGAGTTCATCTGCACATGGAGAAGGGAGATACGGTGTTCTTTCATCCCTTGATCATCCACGGATCAGGGACCAACACTTCAAATAATTTCAGGTAATAATTCAAATTCAATTAGGTCTTTGTCATAAACTCAAATATCTTTGCAACCTTGTTGTGTAAACTTTTGATATTTCAAACTGAGATTTTTTGATTTAACAGAGTTCATAGTTTGAAATATCTTGGGTTTACGACATTAGGTTAAAAAGATATATATGGGATTAGAAAATCAAGAGATTATCCAATTTTAGGGAAGGGGCAATTGAGATTTTGACAGTTAGCTTAAAGGATTTTTATGTGAAAAACATTACAAATCAATTTCCTGACAAAAACAAATAATCTTCTGTAGGAAAGCAATCAGCTGTCATTACTCCACCAGCAATATAGAATATATTGATGTGAAAGGAACAAGCCAGGAGAATATTGCACAAGAGGTAAAATTTGTCTACAGATTTATTCAATATGTACAAAAGTCAAAAAATAAAAATAAATCTTTTTTTATGATTTCATTTAAAAATACTTTTTTTCAGGTTGAAGAAATTGCAGCCCGGAAAGGAGTTGTCATGGATTTTGTTGATCTTTGGGAGTTCAGATCTAGAGACGTCAGAGGAAGTAAGGCTGAAGCTCATCTCTAGAAGAATAATCTAAAGTCAAAAATTTTGAATGCAATGGCACTCATCCACAACTGTAGAGCTCGATATCCTCTCTGGTAACTTTTCGATATCCCTGCATCAGGGTACAATCACCACGGGATAACACAGAGGAATAAGATTAATCTGTATATTTGCATCAATTGAAGATGTATTGCTCGATCCCCAGGTTTCCATCACAAAGGTTTTGACCTTTGATCAAAACTCTTCAAATAAACATTGAATCTCTTACTAAATGTTTTTCATATATACGTATTTATTTATCTATTTAATATTCCATCATTATATGATATAGCAATTTAATGAAATATTTCTTATAAAAACCATAAAAATAAACGTTTAAATATACTTCTTGAGTTTTTTTTGCTTTGAAATATGTTTATTTGTTTATATATGACGACAGTACTGAACAACAACAAAAAATTAAAGGGATTGTTCCTTGTTCAGATATCATGGTACACTGATAACCAGAAAACTCTGAAATAGAAAGACGACTTTATAGCAATACTTATGTGAAATGGTTCTGTTTTTAATAAATACAGAGGCCCCATAGTAATCTGGACAAATTACGTTGTACATTGTCCGATTTTCGTAGAGTTAAATACGCTCTCATTGGTAAATACACAATTTATGGATTGCGATTAACCTAACCTAGATATGCATATATATATAACTCGGTCAAACCCATATTTGATTGCACGCACAACTTGTAATTACGCTGTTAAAACCTAACTTTAATCTAAGATCTAGAAATATACTCAGTTGATATAGAGACTCCGCTTTGATTACTGCGAGAGAGTAATTTGGTTCTCGTTGAAACATACAAGCTGAGATCATACCCATTGGTTTGGCATTGATAGCTTACAAGCTAGTGTCCGGTTGACATCGATAGCTTATGAGATCGTGCCCATTGGTTTGTCATTGATCGATTAATAGCTAGTGTCCGTGTTGAATTGATAGCTGACGAGATCGTGCCCATTAGTTTGGAATTGATAGAGTATGAGCTAGTGTCCAGTTGACATCAATGGCTCATGAGATCGTGCCCATTGGTTTGGAATGGATAGAGTATGAGCTAGTGTCCAGTTGACATCAATGGCTCATGAGATCGTGCCCATTGGTTTGGCATTGATAGAGTATGAGCTAGTGTCCAGTTGACATCAACTGCTCATGAGATTGTGCCCATTGGTTTTGCATTGATTGATCAATAGATATTAGAAAAAGGATTGAGTCTTTATTAAAAACTAAAATATTCTAATCCCTATATCTGTGAAACCTAGCAGGGTTAATCTTTGATATTTCAAACTTTGATTATTTATATGGACATTGGGTTTCAATAATAGAGTGATTAATCGGAGTTTGTGGGTTAGACTGAATTCTTTTAATCTTCTTTACTAAGCTTAGCTGCTTTTCGCAGTACTCTCCAACATTCTGATATATAATTATAAACACTGGGCTTTCAGGCGCTTCGCGCCCATCTTCTATTTTATTTGTAAACATTTTCAAAATTTTAAGTCAAATTTTGTTGGAGGCAAATTTTGGATATTTTGATCATCAATAAACTTTCCCTAGGGACATGTAAAGTCCGACACAAATTTTAGGTCCGATCAGTTTAGCCGTTTTGACGTTTTTTGGATACGAACAGACTAGCAAAGTATATTTATAATCATATGTTAGATTTTAAAACCCTTTCTTACCGAGAGGCAAATATATAAATATATATATAAATATATATACAGTGATAACCAGGAAACGGTAGAATAGGACATTAGCCAAAACTGAAGTGTATTTGATTGATGATGTTACAAAGCAATTAGCTTTACTGGTAAGTTAAAAATCAACTATTAAGTGAAATGGGCCTGTTTACACTGCACAATTGCTGTGCCTCATGTTTGTTGGACTATATTCAGTCATAATTGGAATCTAAAAGTCCTAAAAATAGTAAAAGGAAAGCCATAATTTCAAAAATTATTAAATAAAAAAATATTTTTTAGTCTACATTACAATATTGGTGTTCCAATACTGTACTTTCAAAAGCCAAAATTGGCTTTCCCTTAATACTGGACACGAACATGCCTTTCTCCCTCGGTTGGAAAGGGTTAATTTCAACAGGTTGGGGAGGAGGGAGAGCGGGGAGGGGGGTTAATCATTAGTGAAAGTAGAGAATATAGGTGTGTGCGGTATAATGGGTGGGGGGGGGGATGTAACTTTTACGAGGTACATAGCGCAAAGTGAGGGAAGGGGTATGGAGAGAAATAGCGGTCAAATGAAACCAGCGGTCAACCAAACTTGCCAGCCTATTCTTAGTATTACTAGATCAACCATAAGTTTACAACCACTTTGAGAAGAAGAAACTTGTATAATGAAACCTTTTGTAAGTATTCAATAATTTTACTATCACTACATTTAATGATTAAATACGCATAAGGTTGCGTAAATGTCGTCTTCCTTTTCTACAGTTTTATTTGTTTTACTGTAAAATATTTTATTTATTAAATACAGATTTATATTTCGACAAAAATTATTATTGTACTTTTAGATTGTATTCCTTGTACTCAGCAGTGCAGTAGCAACTAATAAATTAATTTGGCGGGAAAATGTGGCCGAACCACGTGAAGAGGAAACCATTTCTAATTTGGAAGATTTTTTCTCTTCCGGTGTGACGGGAGATGAGATCTCTCACCAGAGGAATTTTTACAATCCTATTCCGGATCCTTTCCTTCTACAAAAAGAAAGAGATTTAGGTAAATTTTTAATCTAAGTATTTATTGTATAGCTGTGTTCTTTAGCCATGGGGCCAGTGTATAATACAGGGACCAGGTAAGGGTCCCAGAAAATGAGTGTTAATGTTTACCATGAAGGTTTTGAGTTTTAGCCTCAAAAGGGTCTGCTTCTCCAAAGACCCCCCCCCCAAAAAAAAAAGACAAGGTCCTTTATACGTCCCTGTACAAATCTATTTAGCATTTTTAGATCCAAAATTAACCTTTTTGTTTAGAGGCATTTAATTAGCCTTTTGCAATGGGAACCATACAACTGTGGAATGGTAAGATTTCTGAAAGACTCAAGTTATGATTTTAAACAGTCCAATAACCAATTGTGTAGTGTGCACACCCATATTACATCAAAAATATTAACTTCAAACCCAATCCTGGCAAAACATCAAATACATATAAGATGACCTCAATGTCGTCTTCCTTTTTCACAGTTGTGTGGCTCTCACGCTGTACCTATTATTGCAAGATTTTCATGCCTAAATCTAGGTTTGGATGTGCTGACTGCTCTGCTGGGCGGAGGTCTCTCGTTTACACGATGCGAGCGTTCATGTCTCCGCGGTGTGTGTCTTCTCCGCTCCGGTCAATACAGGTAAACTAATGTAACCACTATCCATCTGAACTTTCTTTTTAATTGCCTTCTTCCTTTTTTTGAAATAATACAGTGAGAACCATAAAACTCTGGGATAGGAAGCCGACTTTTTTACTTTAGATAGTCCAATAATCCCTATATCTTAATTTAATTGTGTAAACCTTTGATATTGCAAACTTAGACCGTTTTATCTAACAGAAATTATAGTTTGAAATATTAAATTCCAATTACAGGGTTACAACGATATAGGGGTTAGAAAACCAGCGTTAAGGGCCAAAACTCAATTCAGCTTTCTATGAAAATTATATCGTTTCTAAGAATTTTAAATATCAGCTTGACATATATTTAGATTTGTTCAGAACAATTATAGCTAAATGGCAATTACAAAAAATATATTTGGAAGATTTTATCTTCTGGTTGTTTAGATGTGTTCGAAGATCAAGTTTGGGAGGGGATAGACCTGAAAGTTTAAGGTTTTGTGAAGAGAACTGTCCAAGAAGAAATGGTTTTTGTCAAAGATCAGGCCAAGGATACAGGTTAAAAAAACATTTTTTTATTTTCAAATACAATTTAATGTTATAAAACTGATTATTTTATTTTATTGATGTCTCTGCAAAAGTGCCTTCAGCATTGCTTACTTCAGAAAAAATGTAAAATTTCTTAAAATCAAAAACTTCTCAAGCTTAAAACCTCTTTATCTTTCACATTTAAATAGCTGTTCCCCTAGGTTGTGTTCACAACTTTAATTTTTGAAAAAGAAATATTTTATATATTCTTAATTCTTTTAATCTAAATAGGATTTACGACACTTATCTGTAAATAAGAATGTTTACTGTATTTTACTACTTTTTTACTTCACAAACCAGTTAAATTTTATCTTTTTCTTAAAATCTTAAATTTGATTAAACTAGGTGTGTTCCTGTGACTGTTCTTCCTGAAAGCTTACGTTTCTGTCAACAGAATTGCCCAAGGAACAAAGTTTTTTCAATTTTACAATACATTTTCATTTAATGATTTTACAATTTTACAATATATTTTCTTTTAATGATCTAAGAACGAACTTGGGGTTAGCTATGCGCACCAGATCCGTTATTTCTTTAAATAAACTGTAAAAATGAGTCAGAAATTCCCCCGTCATAAGAAAAAATTGTAAACATTTTCTGATTTAAAATCCGAATCCATTTTTACAGGATGGGTCCAGGATGTGGATTAAAGTCAAATTAATCAAAAATCACCAAAACCTATTTTTTTAAAGAAAAGAATAAAACACAATGTTTGAAGACGGAATGGAATCTGCCGAAGGGCTGGGAACGGATACAGATGCCAACCAAGAGACTAAAAAATCGAAAATCAGCATAATCTGACATAATTTACTGAATCAGCTGACTTATTCTGTTCTTGCATAAATTATAAAATCAGCTGACTTATTCTGATTTTGCAGAAATCATAAAATCAGCTGACTTATTCTGATTTTGCAGAAATTATAAAATCAGCTGACTTATTCTGATTTTGCATAAATTATAAAATCAGCTGACTTATTCTGATCTTGCATAAATTATAAAATCAGCTGACTTATTCTGATCTTGCATAAATTATAAAATCAGCTGACTTATTCTGATCTTGCATAAATTATTAAATCAGCTGACTTATTCTGATCTTGCATAAATTATGAAATCAGCTGACTTATTCTGATCTTACATAAATTATGAAATCAGCTGACTTCTTCTGATCTTGCATAAATTTTAAATTCAGCTGACTTATTCTTATCTTCCATAAATCCGAAAATCAGCTTACTTATTCTGATTTGGCATAAATTTAAAAAACATTATTTACACTGTATAGGATATATTATTTGCAATGAATGTAGTAAGAATTGTATATTTGAATGATGTTCAATGATATGAAAATAAATGTATAACGAGTGATATGTTTTTTTTAATTCCAAAGAACCAAGGAGTTAAGGCGTCATTAAATTGATTTGCGGGGAAATTTAACGCTAAAATAATATAACCTCCAAAAACATAACTGACAAAAATATAACGACCAAAAATTTAACCATTTTAGACCAAAAATATAACTTTTTTAGACCAAAATTATACCCATTTTTAATTAAGCCAAAAATATAAATTTTTTTGACCGCACATAAATTTTTTTTTGACAAAAAACATTTTTAGCTAAAAATATAACCATTTTTAAATACAAATATAACCTTTAACCAAAAATAATAATTTTTTTTACCAAAAATATAACCATATTTTCGACAATTTTTTTTCAACCAAAATATAACTATTTTTTGGCCAAATATATAACTTTTTGACTAAAAATATAACTATTTTTGACTAAAAATATAACTATTTTTGACTAAAAATATAACTATTAAAACATGACATACCAAAAATATAACCATATTCGACCAAAAATAGGTTTTATCTGCCTTGTCAATGTATGCAAAGACTTTACATGAATACTTGTTGCATCCTGTGCATAAGTAAGTTTTCTTTTTCATACACTATGCCCACTCTTGTCCACTAAAATGAGAGGAAAGGGATACATCTCACTTGACACTGATTCTTCGTAAATTGCGAAGTTTCCTTTATCAAAGGGACCGTTCATTTATTTGGGTACTTTCATGGTAAACTAAATTGCCTATTAGCTATTCATTGGTATCAGTCTTACTTTTCAACGGCAACTGTGGCCTGAGAAAAAGTCGATTTATCATTCAGAATTCCAGCGCAAAGGTATTTATTTGATACCTTTGCATTTACGACTAGGACATTTTCTGATTATTAATAAAGCATTTTATGGCTTTGATTTAATACGCTTCAGAGAAATCACATTTACGCAATAATAAAAATTGATTCTTATCATTATTAAAGCGCTTGATTATTAAGTTTCAATTATTAAAATAATTGCATTTTTGGTTATATTTTTAGTTGAAAAATGGTTCTATTTTTGAAAAAAAAATAGTTGTATTTTTGGTTTAAAAATGGCTATTTTTTTGGCTAAAAATTGGTTGTATATTTGGTTGGTTATATTTTTTAATTAACATAAATCATTTGTATATTTCACTCATTTAAACAAAACTTTCAGATTTCGAATATTTTTTTGATTTTAAACTGCAATTTTTTTTAATCTGAGCTATAATGAATTTCTTTTTTCCCGAATATACTTCAATCTTGTTTAGAAGAACGATTCTCTTCTGTTATAGTAAAGTTTCAAAAAAGTCGTACAACAAAATTAAAGCTTTATTTTACAATGATGACAATTCCATTATATTATATTTTTTTTACAATTTTCGGAACATAACTTCGTTTCTCCTGTTGAAAAGTTTAAATGGCGAGTCGTATCCCATTGTGTAGTAGGTGGACAAATCAACTCCATCCTGAAAAAATATTTATTTAATAAACATTTAAAACACATAATTGAGAGACGCCTTGATGGCAATTTAATAACAAAGTTTTGTACGACTCAAAAGATCAGTGTACACATCAAATATAAGTTCGCATTATTTACAGTTAGACCCAGAAAACTGTAGAATAAGAAGAAGACTTTTAGGCAAAAGTAATTACTAACTGAAGTCCATTGAACATAATTCACGGTAATTACGGAGTTAACACAGATCCAATTCAGTTGACTAGTTAACCTATTTGCCTTCAAACAATAAAATTGCTTAATTTTCCTCTTCTCATTCCACAGGTTTATGGGTCTCACTTTAGCTATCAAAAATCATACAGGATCTTTGAACCGTCTTTCAATTGTCAGGTTTACAGGATACCATGAAGTTTAGAATAACAACTCAGATCCTTTTTATTCACGGGCAGCCGTAGTACATTTGAATTTCCGAGCCGGGACAACCTTTCCGGTCCCAGTTTGTACTGTATCGCCCAGACATGAATAAAGCAGACACTTAACAGGACTAGCCGATGCAACTAGGTTGACGCAGTCAGATTTTAGGTTGAATTTACTTTTACTAAAGGGTCAGGGGTGCGTGAATTGGTCTATATGGCCGTGACTGAAAACTTTAGAATTGAATAACCTTAATCCAAATATCCTTATCATAACATCCACTGTGGACACTTTTAATTTTCTTGGTAACCCTCTCGTTTGGATATCCTTGCTGGGGTTCCAACCAATAGAGTTCACATTGATTGTGCACCAAGCGGCGCTATGATTGGTTGAGTATCAAACTAAAGATTATATTAATCTGCAGATTAACAAAAAGGAGAGTTCAAGCATTGATCTGGATATCAATAATTCAAAAGTTTTAGCCCGGGACATTTATACATTTATTTTTCTAACCTGTCCAGTTAACTCAGCCCTGAACTTTTTGCTCTCTTCAGTCCAATCTGGGAATCTAAAAAATGAGTTTTTATCATCAGTTTAAAACCTTGATTCATTGATTGCCAGGAATATGCAGGAACCGTTTTAAATAGCTCCATATAATCATATAATTAAAAAACTAAATATCTGCAACATTCCATTATCAGAAAGTGAAGAATACGAAGAATACTTTCGATGTATGGCTTATTTATTAAGGTTTAACTGTAAAATAACTGATTATTTACTATAAACTTTACCATTCTAATATTTATAATTTTGCAACCTTTGATTTTTTAAGTTTGGTTATTTATTATTAAACCCAACAAAGTTTAAATTCTAAAATTTTAAAGGCCTTCATCGTCAGATTTCAAAGAGAGAAGATTTAAAAAATCAGAGTTAGAGGAGAATAATTAGCTTCTGTTACCATCTGTTGATATTGGTATTGTGTGGATTATCCGATTCACATTACGTTACCAGTACGTTACAGTATGTTACCAGTACGTTACAGTATGTTACCAGTACGTTACAGTACGTTACCAGTACGTTACAGTATGTTACCAGTACGTTACAGCATGTTACCAGTACGTTACATGTTACCAGTACGTTACAGTATGTTACCAGTACGTTACAGTATGTTACCATTTAAAGCTTTTTCTGATCAAGTATGAAATATTTATCCATGTAATTGTTGTTTTCTAAGCTGATCTTTTAAATTTACGGCCGTACTTTACAAAAGTGACTTGCGCATTTCTTGCTTCACAAATAATGGAGAAATTATCAGAATTAAACAATTTTCTAGGTAGAAACCCGACGTTATCTTCTATATTATTAATCAAATGATGGTTTAGATGATGTTTCAATTGTGAGATGGGCAGCTGGCATGATTTTCAAATGGAGGGTTACTTGAAATTACGCCTACAGTTCCAGGTATTATATGAAAAGCCCTACCCTGCATCGATAGTTTTGACAAGGTATGATGAAGTAGGTATTGATACAATTCTCACTCTAGGATCAGTAGGGGTAGGTGGAGAACTCTGCAGAAAACAAAGTATCAATAAATATATTTTATGATTTACTTATTTTTAAATTTAAGATTTAAACTCAGGCAACAGAATTAAGTCTTTGCTACAAACTCTGATTTTCTAATCCCTATATCTTTGCAACTCAATGTTGTAAACCTTAGATATTTCAAACTATGAATTCTATTAGATCAAAAAATCTAAGTTTAAAAAAATCAAAGGTTTACACCATCAGAATGCAAAAAGTATGAGATAAGAAAATTTGAGTCTGTGGCAGAGACTCAATTTCTTTGTAGTTAACTTGTTACTGACATTGATGAAATTAATCTACTTTACAAATTATAAATTATAAATTAGTGACAACTTTTCGATGCTCTGGTAGGTTAAGCTAATCTTGTGGCATTTATAATTTGTAAACCGACCTGAAACTCTAATTTATTTTATAATTTGTAAACCGACCTGAAACTCTAATTTATTTTATAATTTGTAAACCGACCTTATTATTATCATTATCATTATCATTATTATTTATTATATGTGGTACCTTGGGCTGAAATTTTGTCATAACTGGGACAGTCATCTCTATTTTCTGTTCTAAAAATATAATATTTTAAATTTTTGTATATTCTGTAGAAAATTGTTTAAAATGTCCTCTGAGACCGGAACCATAAAGACGACATATTTTGTTAGATTTCTTTAAATAAGAATTAGAACAAGAACAAGAACAAAAGCAAGAACAAAAGCAAGAACAAGAACAAGAACAAGAACAACTTACCTCTATCATTATCTCCTGAAATATATCTGAACATATTCATGAACATGCTATCTTCTCCATCTCCCTTGGAGCAAACCCAGTTCTGTCCAGGATACAGTCTCTCCTCGTACCCCTAGACCAAAATTATCCTAAATAACTTAACGGGGCATTTAAAAACATATTGTGCGCGTGTACATTGCAACAACGTCTAGGCTCATTTCTGATTAAAATCTTGCCGGTTTTCAAACTTAAATGATTTTACTTGAGGTATTACCCGTAATTTTGTAATAAATAATCTTTTTTCTTATTTTTAATTTGGTTTCAAGTTTCTAATAGTGGTGTATTTAGTAAAGATAAAGTGTTTCCAAAAACATTCACAATTTTAGAGTATTCATTTTTCTTCAAAATTAAGTTCCTTTTAATTTTCAATGTGTTTTTAGATATAATCTTTTTTAATTTGATTGAATCCATACTTGAAATTTAGCAGTAACTGAATACGGTGCATTCTTGTAATTATCCACCTCCCCTGCCCTCTCATTAAATCCTAACAGATTTCCAACACCCCTAAATATTCAAATCTAAATTTAAAAAAGCTTATTTTGTTAAATAAGAAGTTTAATATGTAAATAATATATCTAACATCAAGGTGTTACTTTTTAAAACCTAGAAATGACACTGAATTTATTTAAAATTACACAATATTTATAAACTAAAGTTTAAGTTTAATTCTTGCTTTTATACAGGGTGTCCCACGAAACATGACAGATGGTGAATATTTTAAAATGTCTCTCCATAATTTGTTAAGTGGGCTGAAACCAAAGAGAATAATAAAAAATATTTCATGGCAGTCATATTTTACTTTTAGTAAAATTGATTTTAAAGTAAAATATATTTGAGTAAAAGGTTTCTTTAAAACTAAATAAACTGAAAATAAATAAGCATAAAATATAGTTTATGGAAGAAGATATTCAAAATTATTCACCAACTGTCATGTTTCGTAGGACACCCTGTATTTAACAAAACAAGTTGCTTGTGCGTGTAAAAAGTAGAGGAGTTAAGATATCACATAATCACACCAGCAAATCTTGATAAGATAAAAGAATTGAGTGGCTAAACTGCATGATATAAGGCCTTCAAAGGAATGAAGTCTTTGACACAAACTCTGATTTTCTAATCTCTATATTTGTGCAACCAAATGTCTCAATTTTTCTTACTACTGTGAAACCCTTAATAACGAATACATTGAAGAATTCATCAAATGTCGTATTCTTCACTTTCTGATAATGGAATGTTGCAGATATTTAGTTTTTTAATTGAATGATTATATGGAACTCTTTAAAACTGTTCCCGCATATTCATGGCTATTTATTTATTTTCGCAAAAACTGAAATTTACGTAATGTAGTATAAAACTCATTGAAAAATTGTCAAGACGACATTTGATAAATTCTTCCGATGTATTCGTTATGAAGGGTTTCACTGTATAAATTCTATCAGATCAAATTATTTGAGTTTAAAATATCAATGGTTCACACCATTAGGTTGCAAATAAATAGAGGTTAGCAAATTTGAGTTTGTGACAAAGACTTAATTCCTTTAACAAAATTATTATTGGAATTAAATTATAAAAATTTAAAATATAGTACTTGAAGAAATTATTGACGGGGCCCTGTGGAGCCGCAGCGCTTAGGCTCACACTTATAAGGAGTACACTTCCAAACAACATCCTAAATAATAATAATATAAGGAGTACACTTCCAAACAACATCCTAAATAATAATAATATTAATAATACCACTACTACTAAGTATAATAATGATAATAATAATAATGGCAATAATAATACCAATAACAATAGTAATAATAATAATAATGATACTGATAATGATCATTATATTTAAATAGTAGTAAACCAAATAATCTTAATATGAATGATACAACTTTGAATACCTACAAAGCTATGATGATCTTGAAATAATGATAAAATAGAAAATTAGAAATGGTTAACAATGGTTAACAACAATCCTAACCTGTATTCACCAGGTCTGTTAAAAGACTGCAATTGAACGCTAGAAACCACTGGGCTATATAAGGACGCACGCCGGGAAATGACAAAACAATAGATATAGTTTTTCTTTTAAAAAGAAAAATATTTAATTAAAACCAATTAAAGAATTTTTAAGGTTTTTGTTGTTTTTTTTTATTAAAAAAATCCTTTAAAAGTAATGAATTTGGGAGGTAGTGTACACGTTAAATAACCGTGTTTATATAAACGCTGTATTACCATAGATTGTATAAGTTGATTATTTTTTGGCTCATTCAGGCCTGAACGAGGGGAGGAGGGATTTTCCAACCACATCAGTACTTTGTCTATCCGAGCCGCATTTTGTTTATTACAACAATATTCATAACAGTGTTAAATGGAATAAGATAACAAGTTAAGTTAATGTAAATCTTATATTCTAATTGTAAACTTTTGTAATTGCACATTGAAATGAAGAATAACAGTATCAAAATAAAAAATATGAAAATGCAAAATATACAACTATTATTACACTTACTTTAAAAAATATGAAATTTTGAGCACTTTGAAGTGATTCGTTGAACAAGTGAGATAAAGAAGGGGTATTGAAGTGATTCGTTCAACAAGTGTGATTATGAAGGGGTATTGAAGTGATTCGTGCACCAAGTGTGATTATGAAGGGGTATTGAAGTGATTCGTTCAACAAGTGTGATTATGAAGGGGTATTGAAGCGGTTAAGCCTTCTCCCTCTCTAATGGTCACGGTAGCAAGCCCTAGCTGGGCCCCTTCCCTTCAGCAACCAATGATAATTCAAATAATTTAATTGTGTTATATTTTTCAATTGTTCCAAACATCCGCTTTTCTCTTTATTCACATGTTATTTTATAAATATATATTTATATAATTTTTTCATGTTTTTATACGTGCCAAGATGTTTCATTTTAAATGTAAAAACTTTTTTCATCGATTTTTGAAGTTATAATTTTTTAAACCATTCATAAAATAATAAGTATTATTATTTAATCCCAACATAATTCTAAAATGTTGTAAAATTAAAACCTTTTTAATATCTTGTTTTTGAAAATAAATGTTTTCCGGCCCCAATATCCAAGAATGTGTAGTTAATTATCTGGAACTATCCTTTTTTTAAGGAAATGAAATAAAAAATCTAAGGACTTCAAGATGTAAATTCTTTAATAAAAATTTTATAATATTAAACTGAATTTGAATTCTTAGAATAAGTTAAATACTTAAAGAACTTGTTGATAAATACTTTGAAAATATTAATTTCAAATGTAATAAAATATTTTTAATTAATTCATTACTAGATTACTTTTACCCCTATACCTAAATCCGACTGACGTCTGAATGACCCAAAAAAGATGGGGGAAGGGGGCACAGTGACCCCCCTCTCTATTTCCTTCTTATCATATACAATTATAAAACAATTGATACATTTTTGGAAAGTCCTTTGATTCTATTTCAATAAGCTGGAGAAAAAATACAAATTTGCAAAAAAGTTAGCAAAAAAACCAAAAAGTTCGCGACCCAGCTGATTCAAATATTCAAAAATATTTGTAAAATTTTCAAACCCCAAATGTGTAAAATTGTGAAAATTTTCTTTAAGGCGTGTGTGCAAAAATCTACGCAAAATTTCTTTGCAGAAATTGTGCAATCTTCTTGCTTTTGTTTAAGGCTTTCCAAAGAGTTATAAAATGTTGAAATCCAATGAACGGTAGTAGCTCTATATGTAAATATAGTCTGGTAGTAGCTCTATATGTAAATATAGTCTGGTAGTAGCTCTATATGTAAATATAGTCTGGTAGTAGCTCTATATGTAAATATAGTCTGGTACCATATGGCACTCATCCAATATGCCTGAAGACTCAGGCAGTAGGTATAAAAGCCCTGCTTCCAGCCTAAAGTGAGGGGCATGTATTAATTAGAAAGTCCAAAAATATTGAACAGCCTCAGACCAACACTTCTTGGTTATCGCAATCGGAATAGGGTTAAATAGATTTGTTCAGATTATCCTGCCCACGCTATAGTCTGAGCAGTGTTTAATAGGGTTAAATAGATTTGTTCAGACTATCCTGCCCACGCTATAGTCTGAGCAGTGTTTAATAATGTGACACTTAATTATGACTCATTCATTTAACCAAAAAAATCTTTTTAAAAGATTTTACTTCCTATCGTCTGCAGACAATTAAGGGCGTATATATACATGAATTTTTAAAGGGGGGGGGCGGGCTTACACATTTTTGACATTCCAGTGGGCTGGGGGGCTAAATCCTGAAAATCAAACTTTTCCCTTCTGTTCATAAATACAATAATCAAGGGCGTGTACAGGGGGGGCAAGGAGGCAGTGCCCCTTCCTAGACCCTAGAACACAGAGCTATTGTGGCGGAAGACGATCTGAGGAGAGAAGCCGGATACTCAGACGCGGCAAGAGGAACTATATAATTCTGCCACGTCACCTTGATATATTTTGATCTCTTAAATTTAGTTTTTAAATTTAGTTAGTTAATAAAGTAAATTATTTATCTTCGGTTGTATAAAATTGAGCGTAGCCAAACTATCACACTTTTCAAATCTGAAACTGAAGAGTGAAGAGTATTAAAAACATTGATTTGCTGTTTTTTTTCTGCTAGTTTTGTTTGATGGAGAGATAAAGTAGTCCTTGCATGGTAATTGGACTGTATAGTGTATGTGTACCTTTAAAGTAACCAAGAAGCCAAATGTTTTGAATTTACGGTTCAAATTTTGCCCTCCCCCGTAGAAGCTCTTAGGTGGGGGTAAAAAAAATGTTGCACTTCGTGCATATTTTGCCCCCCCCCCCTCTAGATTTATTTCTGTATACGCCCTTGACAATAATAACCCTAATTTGATATTTATAGACTTATTAATATGTTTATTATAAAGCTGTCAGATACATACTCACCTTTCTATAATTATCTTTATATAAATTGAAATGTCAAAATAAATGGATTTCTCACAGTAATTTTCTGATGATTTAATAATACAATGTTAAGAAGTTTATAAATAAATGCTGAATAGAATAAGGAAGAATTTGATCAACATTTCTGGTATTTATATACTTCTTATATCTAGACTTTATTGCGCTTTATCTCAAACTATTCTCCTACTTCTTCTTAGATTCAAAACTAGAGGAGCTACGAGGTCGCAAAATTTTACCAGTGATATTTTACTTTCTCCTTCTGTACAGTTCACAAGGACCTGCCCTTATTGAAGAGCTTCCTCGTATTGAACTTTAAATATGAAACCAATTAAATTTTCTCTTCTCATACTTGTCGTAAAATTTAAACTAGAGGAGCTACGATGTTGCAAAGTTGTGCCTATAATCTTATTAAAATTATTATTACTATAGTAGTAATTTTATTCTTCTCCAAGAATTCTTAGTATTTATCCAGGTAGAACTCTTGGTATTTATCCAGCTAGAATTCTCAGTACTTATCCAGCTAAAATTCTTGGTATTTATCCAGCTAGAATTCTTGGTATTTATCCAGCTAGAATTCTTGGTATTTATCCAGCTAGTATTCTTGGTAATTATCTAGCTAAAATTCTTGGTATTTATCCAGCTAGAATTCTTAGTATTTATACAACTAGTATTCTTGGTATTTATCCAACTAGAATTCTTAGTATTTATCCATTCTAGAATTCTTGGTATTTATCCTGCTAGAATTCTTGGTATTTATACAACTAGTATTCTTGGTATTTATCTAGCTAGAATTCTTTGTATTTATCTAGCTAGAATTCTTGGTATTTATCCAGCTAGAATTCTTGGTATTTATCCAAATATAAATTATTAAGCACCACATACAATGCAAACTATGTATAAGTTTAATTAAACCAACATGAAAATAAACTATTACAAGTAGTTAAAGCTAGGCCTACCCCCCCCCCTTTTTCCAACCATTACCATGTCAAAAACATTCCGCATGCCAAAACCATGCAAACTAATTAGTTTTGAAAAATTTCTATAAAAACTAACCTTTCTCCTTTATTCCCCCCCCCCCTTCTTGAAAGCAATGAGATTAAATCTTATTGTTTTCTTTGTAATTTAAAATAATTGCTCTTGAAAATAAAACTACACAATTTTCATTTAAATCAACACCCCCCCCCCCCTGTGAAACCCTACTTTCATATGACTAGGATTTTTGGCTTGAGTTTAAGCCATCTTCTGCCAAAACTATTGGTTCGTCAATACATCTTCTACAGAGAGGGATTATTATGCACATATATATATATATTCATATATCCATAAGTAGAAATATTTCTTGATTAAACATTTACTTACAATTTTTTATTATTAATTATGTTTCATATACAGTGGTAGGCGATTATATCAATACAATGAAGACGACTTTTTATTTAAGTTTTAATTGTTAACAAGATATTTTCAAACTTCAAGCTTACAAGTTCGTTGTTAAAGAGAAGCTTTTTGATAGCGTCTCTTGACTTCTATGTTTATGTGTATCAATGCTGTTTGACAGCTTGACATGAATAAAAATTCAAATTTTATGTCGTCTTCACTGTATTGAGAAAATCGCCTACCACTGTATTTAACAATTTCATTTATTTTAATATATATACCTATGTTATTTTTATTTTAATCAAACAGTTTTCAACAAATTTTAGCTTTTGATTGCCATAATTATAGTAAAGTTTTGCATACATTATACAGGGTGAATATTTCAGAATGTCTTCTTCCATAATTTGTTAAGTTGTTTGATACCAAAGACAAAAATAAAAATATAATATGGGAGTCATGTTACAGTAAAATTGATTTTAAAGTGAAATATATTTAAGCAAAAGATTTTTTTAACGAAAAAAACTGCAAAAAACATTTAATATTTTAATACATTATATGGAACTATTTATCAACTGCCATGTTCGTGGGACACCCTGTAATTGCAAATATTTTGCTAGATGTCTCTATATTTGCAATTTTTTGTGGTCCTACTTCACCACCCTCACGCCCCTAAAATACTTTGTTTGTTTTGTCCCAATTAACGTTAAATCGGCTGAACCAAGTGATACCACAT